TACTCCCTGATATTTCCTTTGCCTTGATATTTCATGGAGATCAAGTTCTGAAGAAGAGTGTTTGCCTCCGCCTTATCGCTTTTTGCAAAGCGCTGCTCAATTTCAGCAAGAAATTCTTTGGCACTTGTGATGTTTTCAGAAATAGTGCCCCTAAACACCTCTGGGATGTCGCGCTTAATGATCATTAGACTCATGCGATTTGAGCGATCCCATTTCTCATAATCTCTTTTCTGTTCAGAGGTACTTGAATCCGTAGGAGTAGGGGGTTGCTCAGTCCTTAACACAAGATCCATATCCATGCAACCAAGAACAATATCAATGTTCTCTTTCCAGTCCTTAAAATTTGTTCCATTCAGGACCGGAACATAATTTAAATTGACAGATACAGAAGCAATTGTAGTTGAATTTAGAACACGAGAAATAAACTAATTATGCTCACATTATATAAAAAATAAATAATATATATTCAAATAGTGGTTTAATCATCTCAAGACACCCAATGCACCATCAATATCAAGTCTTTGGACAGTAATATTAACTGCTAGAGGTATCTTGTTGTAATAATCAAACATTGACAATAAAGCACGTCCAACAACAAACCAGTCTTTGGATTGATTTATCATCGACAAAGCAAATCCTTATAATTATCACATGTTTATCATTACAAGTGTGTATGCAATTCGGCCAAATATTAATCTTTCTTTGGGCCGACTAATACTCGCATGAATATACACAAACACTAACATTCAATATTTTCCATGAACTGCCCAATTCAAGAGAATTTACTTTGGTGACTTCTTGACTCAATTTGCTCACAAAAAAATATTAAACTACCAAAGATTGAATATTTTATTTATATAACAAAACCAAATATTTAATATTTGCAAAATAATTCAAAAGAGAATCACCTCATTAGAATTCTACTAAGGATGAACACCTCCCTAAAATCTCATTAGGGATCAACACCTCATTTGAATAAATCAAAGGATGAAAAAAGGCCTCATTTTCCACCAATACATAAAGGATGAACATCTCCCTAAAATCACACTAGGGATGAAATAGAGATAGTTCTGAGTCTCTTTAGCATACTGCTCTAAACCCTAAAAGGGAATTAAACAGTAATCACTCAAACCCTAATTTAACATCAAATTTTCCTTAAATTTCTAGGGGATAGAGGCAATAAAATAATAACAGCCACACATGTGGAAACATTCACCAATTGCCTAAGATCCTCTATGTTGGGAATTCCCCAAACACCACTCCCAATTCTCAGTAAAACTTGAAACTTAAACTGAAACAAAAGAGAAAAACGAAGAAGAAGAAGAATCCATAGTTTCCTCCACGGTTCCATCAGCAAGCAGAATCAGATTGAGGATGTTACCCCCAAATTTAAATTTTAGGGTTCACAAAAATTAGAGATTATCCTCTACTTAGAGTTCATAAAATTGGGTAATTTGAAATGTTTAAAACAAAAGTAATCCTAATTTTCATAATTAGGGTTCTATAAATTAAACAGACATGAATCAAATATGGGCGGCTCTGATACCAATTGTTGGAGAATTAATAATAATAATAATCCTGATTTTGATTTTGATTCTAACGATCAAACATAAACATAATCTCATACAGATGAACGTGTTGTAAACTGAATGCGAAAGCGTACCTGAATTAGCCATAATGATAATGTCTTTGTAGAGCACTGTATTGATCTTATGGTCTTCCACCTGTATTTTCCTCTTGATTTTCTTTCTTGATGGGGATAGAAAGAAAGGAACAGGAATGAAACTTACGTTCTGTGTATGTGCTCCCAGAAGGGGACCACGACCCCTTAAAATAACCAGAATTAGGTTAATTACTTAAGTTTTAGTATTTCTAATTTGGCCCCTCATCAAATTTTTCTAATTGCTCAATGGTCTCTACACAATTTTATTTTCATGACATATGTCTTTAGCCAAAACTTTAATTTAGTCAGATCACTTTATTATTTGGCTTAATAAATAATGACCCTAACACATTTAAATTATGTATCATATATATACATCACTCAAATTTTGCCAAAAGAACTAACTACTTAAAAACATTATAATTTTTACTGTTGTTTGTTTTGCAGATGAATGGCTATTGTAACATGACTATTGATGACCTAATGAAAGCACTTTTGAGGACGCTTATTGAGTTTGATGTCACAGAATGTGCTCAAGTAATGAATCAAGAAATCATCCACTCTTTCTTGTTCTTTCTAATGGAATTGGAAGCTTTTCAAATGCAGTACCTCGGGTTTTCTTTTTCCTTCCTATCCTGTTGTAGTATATAAGTTGTTATTTAGTAGATTCTATACGAAAATCTTTTTTATAGATGATGTGATTATTTTCAGGACTATGAAAAATTTAGAAGGTTTAAGATTCGAAAATTAGAGAATGCAAAATATTTAGAAAAACAAAACAAAAACTAAGCATAACGATAGTCTGTTATAAGAAAATAAAAACCACGAAAAAAAATGTAATTTAATTGATTTGGATGGAAAATGAGATTATTTTAAAAAAAATCTCTTAGATCAAATCATAATGAATGTTTAGGGTGTAGGATTTACAAGAAAGATATATATAAAATTGTTAAAATACTAAGTTACCTTTCTTTTAAATATTATGCATGCTAAATTAAAATATTTTTTAATATTGAAAAAAATTGTTTATTCACATTATTATTATAATGTTGAAAAATAACATAAAAAAATTACTCTTTCTACCTTAATCGATTATGTTTTAATAGATGATCGATAATCATTTTTAAATAATTTTTATTATATCTCAAATTATAAAAAATAGTTACTTCATGTTTAATCATATTATATATTATTTTAAATAAATATTTATTCTTATTAGTTTTTATATAAAAATATTTTAATAATTTAGTAAATCACATAATTAATATATTTATTTTATTATTTTGAATTAATCAGATTAATTATAAATTTTTATTTTTTTAATAGAAAAAAATCAAACTTTTTACGCTATTTTTTTTCTCCTCTTTAAATCCAATATCGTTCAAACAAACAAAAGTTAAAAATAACCACATTCATTTATATATTTTAATAAAATAACCTTCTAGAGGATAAGGAGGGTCAGGTAAGATTGATTGAGAATTTGTCTCACTTGTTTTGAAATTTTATTTTATTTATATATTTTAAATAAATTATTATATATTAAATTATTACCTACGTTTAATTAAAACATAATAAAAATAATAAAAAAGAATTAAATTATATTTATTAAATTATAAATTTGAATTTAATATTTCTCATAATGATAATTTAAATATTTTAATTAGCATTTTAAATAATTAATAATTTGTGATTTTATGATAGAGAAATGAGAGAGTTGTTAAATTATTGTGCAACTTGGTCCCAATTACAAGAATCCGTGACAAGAGAAAACAAAGTTACTTTTTCAAAGTTATATTTGAATTGAAGTAATATCCAAAAGTTTATCTAATTTTTCATGCGAAAACTAAATGCAAATTCATGGCTACAGAATGAGATATTGACAATACGAGATGATAAAATCAAATATTTTAAAGATGGTCGACAACACTTTGATAACATACTACTAAACTGAATCACTTTAATAAGTGAAGCATGGTGCATCACAATTTTAAACAAAATATATTATGCCCTACTCGATGAAAAAGATTAGAAAAATTAGTCAAAATAAAGTTATTTATTTGAATATAAATAAATAAATAAACATATTAAAAAAATTAGTTGAAAAAATATATTTCTACTAATAATACTCTTATTTTTTTAATTACTATAATATTTAATTATATATTTAATGTACATTAGAATTGAATCTTGAGTATAAAAATATATAACAATCCTTGAAAACATATCTTTTGTAATGTATTGCAAAGAGGATTCCAATTAAAATAACATTTTAGTTTAAATTAATGAAACAAAATGTTTCAAGTATAGATAAGAATACAACAACATCGTACATTTTATACATCAACAGCTATAATATTACTATTTTATTATATATAAACCATAAAAACATTACCTCAATATATATAACATTCATCTAATTCTATAATCTTTCGTAGCGTTAATTACTCTCTTTTTTTCAATGCTATAAACAACTTAATTAAGCTCAAAATCTCCAAGAATTGAATACAAATATCATTTTCTTAACTTCGTATATTTGTACTCTTTTAACTTAATATAATATTCATATTGTAATATATAATATAATATTTAAATCATCATAACATTTATAGTATTAATATATATATATATATATATATATATATATATATATATATATTGGGAATCTACCAAATGTTCCTTAGTTTATAGGACTGCAAAAAGTTAAAATTTAAAAGCAAAAACCAAGATAATTTAAAATTTAAAATCAAAACATATAAGTATTAAAAATATGTTTTTAGTTTTTTTTTTCATGTTTTTACTATGGTGCCTGCCTATCCCACAACCAGGCTTATTTTTACATATTATTTTATTAAAATAACAATAAATATATATTTTTAAATAAATGTAATCCCTAAAAACAATAATTTAAGAACAAATTAAAAAAATAAAAAATTGTACTACTCTGAGATCATAACATCAATCAATTTAAAGTTTATTGTAAGTTATGATAATTATGGATCAAAGGAAGTATTTTAAATAAACAATGTCTAATTTTGTCAATTTCTAATTACTTCAACACTGAATTACACTCTTGAATCCCGCGTGCTAGTTGTTTTCTCTAAGTCATAGCAGCCATAGTTGAAAACACCATAAACTCGTTATTGTTTATGTACATAAATCTAAGAGCTTTACACTAAAGCATGTGAACAACAGACAAACCTGTTCAAGGTTTTTATTGTTTTATATGCAAAAATAAACCAAACCACTAAACTTCAACGGCTTCTCAATTCATAGTACAATCCGAGTAAACGATATGCAATCCCAGTACTTCTTTGATGCACTAGCACGGATCTGAAAGTCACTGTTGCATGTCATACACCTCTAACAGATATTCTCTCAGTTTCTTCACTACTTCCTCCATGCTCATTCTGCATTCATCCATCTGCATGATACCAGAGCATTACAAATTAGTAAAAAATCAGTAGCATACATGATGATGATCTATGATTGAATGATAGCATAAAGCAAAGTTTTACAAGGGTTTATGAATGTTGTTTGATACCTGAGCAATGATGTGGATTACAAGAGTAGAAGTGCCAAATGGTAGTACACTGCTACTACTTGGGGAAAGATGGAGTTTTTCAAGCAAGACATGTATTTTGCAGACTATGTCTTTTTGCTTCTCACAATGGATGCCAATCAGTACTTCCTCATCTACAACTCTTGCTTCAACCTCAAACAGTGATTCTTTGTTGGCTTGATATTTCCTTACCAATGCTGATGAATGTTGAACGCTTTTATCATTGTTTTGATTCTCCAACTCTTTAACTCGCTCCTGAAGTTGTTTTGTGTAATTCACTGCTTCACGAAGAACATAAGCCTTGTCCATCTATAATGTTACACACCAAATCTTAGTTAATATAATTATATATATATTATTCATGAATAAAGTTAAAATAATGTTCCACCAATTTTATAAATTAGTTTTGGTTTTTAAATTTGGAAATTGTATGATCTGTGTTTATCGAAAAAAAAATATTTTTTTTGTAATTTTTTAACTTTCAATCAATTTTAGTAAACAGTGAAATATATATTATGTATTTAAAGTTTGAATTAAAAATTAAAAGGGAATGCTTATATATCCTTAAAAACATGTTTGGTAAGAGTATTAAATAATTATAATATTGAAATGAATACTTGATATAATCCTTTTCTAACATATCTTAGGATATACTCCTTTTTAAGTGCTTTTCAATACAAAATCGACAATAATGCATTTGGGATTTGAATTATAATAATACTACTTAGAAAGTGGACCATGGAAATGTTTGTTTAATATTTTCTTCCGGCGCATGATTAGTTTGCTCGTGTCATCTTCTCAACAACACAAAACCAAAATAGTTTAAAATATTTTGCAGCGATAATAGTGAAAAGTGGATCCAATTGCTCTATTCTGCCCAATATATAATTATTTTAGTTTCAAAATATAAAAGAAAAAATCAATAAAGTCTCAAAATAAATAATTAAATAGACACACTAACAAAATAATTAACGCTTGGTACGTCTGAAATTTTATTTTAAAATCTGTTAAACAGGAATCCGTACAAGCATAAACAAAAAACACATTATTACGGTGGAATGAACCGTATACTACTTGAGAGGGACGTAAAAGAAGAATAAAATCTTATTATTAGTTTATTTATCCAAATACAGTATTTAATTTTAAATAATAAAAAGTGTAAATTTATGTATTTTTAATTCTAAGTTTAAATTATTATTTTTTTCTATCCATAAGGATGTATTTAAAATATAAAAGAAACAAGTTCAATGCCTGCAAAAAGAATAACGAGGGAGATAAGGGACAAGAGACAAGAAGAAAAATAAAAATTATTTTACTACTTACTTGAAAAGAAGAAAACAAAGTGAGTCAATCACTAATTTTCTCTCTTTCTCTCTATATATAATATAATTATATTTTTAATAATAAAAAAAAGTCTCTTTCATAGATTAAAAAAAACAACAACTTTCTGATCAACACTGGTTAACAAATAAAAGAGATAAATTCTGGTTGAAATTGGTATAAAATCCCATTAAATAGCCATAAAAACATATTTTAATGTATTTTAGTGAAGGAAAAAACGCTTATAATTTTTTACAGTTAATATTGATAAGCATTTATGACAAAAAGAAGAAGTTGATGAGATAATAACTGACCCTCTTGAGTCCAGGAATAGTTGCTGAAAGAGCAATGATGCTACCTGTGAGTTCCTGTCTTCTTTTCCTCTCAGCCATGATGTGATGCTGAATCTCAGAAGACCTTCTAACCTTCTTTCTTGGCTGAGCCATGAAGGGTTCAAACTGAGGTCCATCTTTCACCACAGCACCCCTTTTACTGGAAGATTCCTGAAGTGATGAACCAAGTTTTGGGGAAGGCTTATGATGAGTGATTGGTTCAGCAGTTGAAGTATCAAAAGAGAGAAGGTATGTGGTGGCTGGAGAGGCACATGATGATGGTGATGTTTTGAAGGACTTGATGGAGTTGGAGCTGTTGCTTTTGTGGAGAGTGCCACCAGTTGCCTCATCAAAGGACACACTGCTGTTGGAGGGGCTTAGATTCTCTCCTTGAGGTGACAAATCTTGTTGCTCCTCAAGGATCTCTCTTAGGAACTCTTGTTCATCAAATGAACCATGACTTTGACTCAACCCAACATCATAGTCTTCCATTTCCTGTGACAACTAAGAACAAAAATAAGTTGTGCACTTACTACTTTGATCATGGAGATACTGCAATTCATACTCACAAATTCAGAAATTGAAACTAAATTGTGGTTTCAGGGAGATTTTACCAAATTGGAAATCCAATTCTCCAATGAATCCTCCATTTTTTATGGATCTGCCAAGTCCTTCTCTGTTGACCTTGTTATGTGAAGTTGATGGAAAGTAGGACTTTTGCAACTTACATAGCAAATTGCAATGTATATAAATAGCAAAAAAAAAAAAAAAAAAAATATATATATATATATATATATATAGTATTGTAAGATGATTTTTTTTTCTCACCTTTCATTCAATTATATTATAGCTACTGGGAAATTAATGCCGCCTCGACCATAAAAGGTTTTCTGTATTATATTATTGTTTATATCATTTTCGATTTATAGCATCTTCAATGCAAAAATAAAAGTACTAATAGGATATTAAAAGTAAAAGTTAGGTTTTATATAAAAATTTTAACCGTAAAATAAATAATTAATATGATAAATGTTTTTTTATATAAAATTATGATTTTCTATTCGATATCACCATCAAAGTAGAAGTTTGTAAAAATATTGTGATTTATTTGAAACTAATGTGTCCTTACGAGACCCACATCAAATAAGTACGAATATTGTATTATTAGTGCTCTTAATAATAAAAATATCTATTGGTTTCATTAGTGACTGCTTTCTATGATACAAACATATATTTTACTATCTTTATATCCTTTGTATCTTGTTTACTTGTGAAAAAAATTTAAGAATGAAACTAATTAAAAAAAAATACTACTCGAGAAATGAAAATAAAAATTATTCTAAAAATAAGTAAAAATTATTATATTAAGTTTTTTTAATTAAATATATTTAGTTGTTCTTTTTATTTATTTCCATCCCATGTATTTGATAATAAAGTATTATAATATTAGTGAAAATGTATGAAAAATTACATGTCATATATTTGACTAACTTTTTTTCAATTTTATATTTACTACAAGTTTTCTTTATAAATATTGTCCACTAACTTTTTTAATCTTGTGATATAACATAATGTACAGTCTCCATCATTATAATAAAACTCAATTAAGTCATAATTTATTAAATTTTTTATTCATTAAAATAAAATGCAATTAAGTCAATTTATTAATTTTGTTATTATCATTAAATTAGTCATTTTATTTTCTCTTTTCCTTTTTGCCTCTTTTATTATTAATGAATATATCATATAACATTTATGTAGAAAATCAATGTTAATACAAACAAATTAGTGATAAAATAATTTTGCCAAAAGTAGACTTTAGTACGTATTAATATTATTAATTATTTGTATTAGGAAAACAATGAAGGTCTATTTTATTTTCTATTTTGAAGTGGTTTGTCAAAATTGACGTGCTTCTGTCCAAAAACTTAGTATAAAAAAAATTGAAAAAAAAATAATGAATTAGATATAAAAATATGATCTAAAAAAATTTTACTTCATTAGTTGACGGTCTATAAATGTTTTAGACCAACCGGTTTACAAGTTAATAGGTCAGTTTATTTTAAAATAGTAATTTATTTTTAAAAACTAAAAACAATAATAGTATTAATATATATATATATATATATATATTATAATTTGAATATTTTTGTAAAACCAATATTTAATTTAAAAATATTAATTAAATATTTAAAATTATGATAAAATAGAATTATTTTATCCTAATAAATTATTTATTTATTTAATTAAAAAAGATTAAATATTTATGAAATAAATTTATTTAAATTAAATATAGTTATAATTAGATTAGGTTATAATTATTCAAATTAAAAAAATTAAAAAAAATATTTATTAAAAAATTAATTTAAAATAAATATTAGTTTTTAATTATTATAATATAATAAAAATATTTATAATATCTAAAATTTTATTTTATAGTATTTTTTAAATATGATATATTTAATATATAATATTTTTGGATAATTTAAATATTTATATTTTTTATAAATAATAACAAATCTATGTCAAATTTCAATCTAGTATTTTTATTAAATAAAATAATAAGATGAATGAAATATGTGAGAAAAGGATAAAAGAAAGGAAAAGAAAATAACAAAAAATAAGAGGAGAGAAAAAAATGAATAAGAAAAGAAAAAAATAAAAAGAGAAAAATAAATTTATTTTTTTATTATTAGTATTAATAATAAATCTAATTAGATAAAGAAATTAACATATATTTTATTAAAATAATTAGTTTAAAGTATATTATTTATTAAATATTGATTAGATATAATTTATACATTATAAGCACGTTATAATAAATAAGAACTCAAATGCATTCAGAAAAACATAAATATTTATAAATTCAAATATTAAATTTTTTTAAATTAATATTTTTATAAATAATCATTTTATTTTTAATCCATGTTAAAATTTATTTTCATTTTGTAGAATACTTGGATAATTTAAAAAGAGAAAAATAGATATCATGTCATCTATTCTTAAAGATATATTATTTATGGAAGAAGTACGGCAATATCTATCGTATTTCTTTATTTGGTAAAACAATTTTTGTTGCAGGATTTTATTTTGTTTGTTTTCAGATAATAGTTATTAATATTATCATTTTCATTTACGAAATAAAATAAGAGATTTTAATTCAACATGCGTAGCATGTGTTTGGGAGAAGAGATTTTTAAGTAAGAATTGTTATTTAGTAATTTCCAGAAGGTGAGTCATTACATCACGTCCCAAGCTAAAAGCTAAACACATCCATCGAATAAAAATCATAATCATCCAACGCTACAATTTCCAATCATGAAAATTAGGTATGAAAATTTAATAGTAGTAGGAGAAAAAGACACCGCGTAATGGCTTCAATTTTGAACGTGTATAATGAGTGTAGAAAAAAAGAAATCAAAAGAAAACAAAGAACCAACAGACAAAGGAAATATATTAAATATTACAAGTTATGTTGGTGGCACGGTTAATATTTGGAATATGACATAACTGACGTGACCTTAACATTTTTAAAATCATTCTTGAGGCACGGTTACGACAAAACATCATAAACCGACGACATGTAAAAGAAAATGAATAAACTCATTCACAAATCATTAAAGACCAACACAAAGGAAAAAATAATATAAAAACCAACTACAAGTTAAAAATATAATAAATTTTAAAATGAAATGATCCGTGTCTTCACAAATATCAAGAGCACTGGTGACTTTTATTCAACAAAACTAGTAGAGACACATTAATAATTGCTTAAAAAGTATGAATAAAGAATCAGCATACTAGGTATGAGTTAACTTGTTAAATATTATAAATAAAATTATTTAATAATTGTTTTGAAAGATTTCACAAGGTAAAATTGATGTTTGTTTATAATGATATATATATTTTTTAAAGAGAAAGTTAAACAGTGAAATTTATGAAAATTTATTTTAAAAATAGTTTTTAATTTCAACCATATGTTTAATTTCCTTTTGTTTTGAATCACTCTTAAAAACGTGTAGAGAAACACAAGTAAAGCTAAAAGAATTATTTTCTTTTGAAATGATCGCTATATTGACTCAATTATGTCATTATATATTTGTATGAAAAATATAATATCAGTAATTTTTATATGTATCAAAATTAATATATTATTTGATTTAAGTATTTTATATCTAAATTTAATGTTTAATATTATTTTTTCATTTTTAAAAATATTAAATTCATATTTTTTTTAAATTTTAATAATTAATTAATTATTTTTAAAATACAAATAACAAAATTTAAATCTAACCAAAATATACATATATTTAATATTATTTTTTAAATAATATATATATATATATATATATATATATATATATATATATTGAAGTTGTGAATCACTAAGCGACTTTATTTAAAAAATTATTTTATAATTTTTGTTGTATATTTTTATATTATTAAAGTCTAAATATATTTTTCAGCATTATGAATTTAGTTTTTTTTTAATTCATGATTTTCAACAAAAAACACGTGAATCATTGCATTAATAAACTTTAGCAACTATAAATGGTTTTTGGTCAACATGTTCACTCTGCTTTACAATATTTCCACTGTCATGTCATGGGCTTATTTCTTTATTTATTATTATTATTAATTATTACTGTCAGGTCAATAATTATGGTTGGTAGAAATTGTAATTAAACTAAACACGGTCATAAAACATAAAGATATTCAAATTAAAAAATATTTAATAAGAATATATTTTTATTTTTTAAGATAAAAAATATTTTTTTTCTATTGAAATCCATCTATCTAATATATTTGGTTTCTTTTAAATTAAACTTGTTTCTTATGTAAATTAATTTTTTTAGAACAATAAAAAAATTATAAATTTCGGTTTTCTAATATAAATTTTTTATAATTTAAAAAAATTATCCCTTACGAGTGAGATAGTAAATATTATTTGTTACATTTTTTTAATATATAAATAACTGATTTAAGTTATTTTTATTAAAAATAAAAAAATTCAACTAATAAGTAAAAAATAAAAATAAGTGATAGATAAAATAGTTATGGATAATATAATCTCTGGTGTCAATATATTTAAATTTAAAATAATAAAAATATTAAAATAGTATTTATTATTTTTATATTTAAATGCACTTAATTTTGATATTTAATATCTGAAGCATAATTATTTTATAAATTTATGAATAGAATTTATATATTTCATTATTAACTTGTTTTTATTATTTTATAATACTAATATGTAAAACATGTGTTGAGATGACATTTATTTGCCAGAAATGATGAAGGATGGTTGGAAGGTGACAAGAACTGCGAAGATGTCTAGCTTTCCAAAAGATGCCAAAAAGTATGTTCCCACTCTTTTAATCATTTCTGTCCTTTTTTATTAAATTTATAATTTATTCATTTATATTATTTAAAAAATATATATATACAAATTATAATAAATTAATTTAAATATTATTTTTTATATATTATATTTTATAATGAATAAATATTTATAAATTTATTAACTTTTAAATTATTATTAGTTAAATATATTAATATATATATATATAAATATTAATAATTTTTTTCATAAATACTAAATACTTATAATATTACTACTACTACTATTATTATTATTATTATTATGTATAATCAAATATTTATTATCTATAATATATGTATATAAATTAATTATTTTTAAATTAATTATTTAAAATGTTAATAAATATATAATCTATGATTTATAAAAAAATTAATAAAATAATATTATTAAATTAATGCAAAACAATAAATACTTGAACTTTCAATGCTTCTAAATTCTCAATCATTCAAAATTCAATATTTTAATCAACAAAAATTTAATATCTCACAAGAATAATAAAAAAAACATAACACGATTAATAAAGATAAATTAAAAATAAAATAATACTAAATATTATTAAGATTATTAAAAATAAAATAATATTAAATATTATTAAGATGTATCTATAATATTTAGATTAAAACAAAAAACTTCCCTAAAATAGTTGAGGAAATTAAGAAAATGTAAAAGAGTAAAAAATTGAAGAAAGAGAAAAATATGTTTTATATATATATATATATATATATATATATATATATGTATAAGTAAAATATTTGTTCTATACAATTACACTGTGATTAAAATTAAAATAAATATAATTTAGATATAGAATAAAGAGAAAAAGTAGTTACAAAATAGTAAAGACAGAACAAGACGATGAGAATATGCAATGTTGTTATTTAAAAGATAAGACAGTAAAGAGATTCTTGTCCATAAAGCCCTGGCCCAACTACTTCGAAAAATCAAAGATAACAAATTTATTATAAAAGTAGTAGGAAAAAAAATGCTAAGTAGATACATATTTGTATGATATTTTACTTATTAACGTATATTAGTTTATTTGATTTAGCTCAAGATTTCAATATTTCATTTCCATAAAATCAAACCACACATGGATTTGGTTCAAGAATTCAGTTATTGTTAGATTGGTTCATGTATATTTTTTTATTAAACAATTTGCTTCATAAAAAAATAAAAGAACCACAAATTGGTAAAGAAACATTTTAGGGTACACAAAAAGTATTCATGCAATAGATAAGGTAAGAATTCTCACCATGTTAAATCTAAGTTATATATATATATATATATATATATATATATATATATATATATATATATATATATATATATATATATATATATATATGTATGTATGTATATTCTAACCTCACTGACTATTATTTATCATTCTTAACTCTTTTTCACAGTCCAAGACTCATGTAATCTTCTCTCATCATACTTCCACACAACATTTCATGAAAAATGCAATTTCGAACATTTTCAATGCTGTACCACTAAGAATTCCAAAGAAAACCTTCTATTTATACCTCAGTGAATAATATCACTCTAGAATATCACAGATTTAGAAGGGTAAAAAAATGAAGTTTACAGTTGAAGTTGTGGTCCTTCAAAAGTACCAGTTTTTTCATTGACAAATTCCTCTCTAAAAATTCCCATTATTCTAAACAACCAGTCCCTTCACTCCAGTTAAAATGGGAAAAAGAAAAAGATAACAAACACCAGATTCCAGAACATCCAGTGAAAGTAAGGTTGGACTGATGCTTAAGTTCAACAAGAAGACAAATAGGAAAAACAACACATTAGTTAACCAGCCATGGGATGATTAGAAATATACTCAATAGCAAGATTACATGAGTCAATTTTATCAGCTTCCTTGTCTGGGATCTCTAGCTTGAACTCCTCTTCTAGAGCCATTACAATTTCCACATTGTCCAAGCTATCCAAACCCAGATCCTTCTGGAAATGGACTTCTGGAGTCACCTGAGGAGCAGAAGAAACCAGTAAACACTAGAACATGTTATCAGCAATGCTTCCAGTTTACAAGAAATCTGAATGACCAAATATGCAAATGGAAGAACACTCAGTGCAATCCAATTAAAGAGAATGTTAGCAGCATTTTTACAAAGAGCAAGTGGTAAATACAGGATGAATAAATTTAAGGGCCTACAAGACGTTCTGAAAACAATTCTGATAAATGATAACTAGTTTCTTTGAGTACAAGAATACACAGATAGTACATGCTGTATACCCTCAGTGGCATACTATAACATCATTCATTTCATCATGATGTAAAATGAAATAGGGCTGATAGTGCTTCAGCCCAACTTAAAGCAAACCCTGGATATTTCAAGAGTTGATTGAAGTGTAGTTGCTTCAAGTCCAAACTATCTTAAAAGAGTAAAAAAAAAAAGAGATATTTAACATACAACCATGCATTTATTATATTGATGGTAATACCTGAGGAACTAAAATTTTTGGAGGAAAAGTTACTACAGAATAGTCTCCGAATAATACGGGAAGCAAAGACCCCCGAAAAAAACTGGATAATAGATATCCAGTTTTACATATTTCTGAAGCTCCTTGATTGAATGCAGGAACCAAAAAAAAAATAATTATAACAGCCCATGAAAGATAACCAAAAGAGTACTTCACAGATCACAATTTTAGTTACACCTTACTTTTCATCTCCCACCAAATGAGGTTTGAGGAAACTATGAGTATTCAGTCCCTCACCCCTCCCCGACACAGAGAAAATAAAGAAGCTATTTTTGACAATCTAATTCTGCTAGCAAACATTTGACATTGTATTTGTTTCATTTAAAGTGAACCCCATTTTAAAGGAAAAATCAGAGTCTCAATCATTGATAAGAAAATCAATGCATGGTAATATAAACTGGTCTAAACCAATCATTAGACCAGTTCACTTAAACCATTTAACCAGTTATGCAAAGAACCTGTATAAAACTGGTGCAAAACTAAGTAAATTGGCAAAAAACCAGTTTAACCTGTTTGCTTGAGATAGATTTTTTAATTAAAAAACAAATATAATGATGATTAATATAATTGTAACCAAATATCATGATGATAGATAATTATATTGATTATATCTATTTAGTTTCTAAACATAGTTAGTGACTAATAGATATTATTATTTGTTATTCAACTTAAATGTTATTACACAAGTAACTTAATTTCATGTTATTACATAATGCATTCAACTAATAGTTAATTTAATTTCGTCTCCCATTCTTTGGGCCACCCTTTGTTATTATTAATGTTACAAAAACGTTATCCCCCCATCCCGCAGGATTTGTTTCCTCTAAAGTAAAAAAGATTAATAAAGTGAGAAACTAAAAGAGTATATCTCATGTTGATTTGAATTAAGATATATAATGATTTTCAATCCTCTTTAAATCAAGAGTAGATACACGCTTACTTTCTCAATTTACACATGTCCTAGTTTCAAAGGAACCGCAAGCTCTCTCTCGAACTATAAAGGGAGAGATGAAGAAAACCAGAGAAAATTTGAAAAACAAACTTGCCACAATGCCACCAGCAGCCTCCTATGTACGCTTACAGAATACAGACGAGTTTGAAGTCCACAATTCAGACCCAGGTAGGAAGAAGGAACGACAAGGATGTTTGGAAAATTTAGCTTGAATTTTGAAAAGATTAACCAAGAAAATGGTATTTTCTGAACCAGGATTTTTGGGAAATGAATTATGATTTCATAATTTGTGTTGTCTTTGAGAATTAATATCCTTAACTTTATTAAGGGGGAGAGAGTGTCACCTAGGATAAGGATAAAAACAGGCCAGGATAAAAGAGGAAAAACAGAAAAAAAGTGCATATGGTGATTTGATATTTGCATTTTTCAAACAAATTAAGATTACCAACACTAAACATATGGTTACTGAACTAAATTTCCAGAGAATAGGAAAATCCATCTGTTAAAACCAACAGATCAGGATACACAGTTTCACATAACACAACACAGCACAAATACAAGTCCGATGGTTGTGTCATGTTTCCAAATTTTGAGAAGACTCTTTGGGCTCAATAAACAGAATTACGATTTGGAACATCCATTCCACATTTTTCACTCTATCCAAGAATCAAAACACAACCCAGGCAATTGAGCTAAACTTGGGGAAGTTTTGAGATACATATTTTGCATTTTTCCATTAACAAAGACAACAAAATCTAAACACCACTTAGGCAGTTATTGGCCAAAAAAATCACATTGGGGAGGATGCAAGACCCTTAAAGCTAAATCAACAGAATACCCACTCAAAATTTTGAACGGCAATTAAGACTGCTAACACCACCCAGATTCTAATTGAGTTAAATTTCCAAAATTTCGTAAAACCCTTTTGCCCAAATCAATAATAAAAGGTCAGGGAATTCATTCCAGGTTTTCCAAACATTGGGACAGCCCATCTGAACAAATCAGCAGATTCTATATTCGGAATACCCATTTTTCTTATTTCTCAATTGCGATTAAATAAAGGATGGAGGAAAGAAAAGTAGGGAGGGAAAAATAAGAGGGAAACCTTGGAAGGATCGACTTTGGGGAAATCTTTGACGACTGCGAGGACTCTTTGGATGACCTCCTCTTTGGAGAGATGATCGTCGCCGTGTGATGACATGGCACGCCATGGCTGATATTTTGGAGCGGCTTGGAGTGGCACACGAATGTGGCGGAGTACAGCAGCCCTCAGTGCCATTTTTCTCTCTTTCTCTCTTTGCAAATGAGTGAGTGATTCTGTGAGAAGCAATGTAAATAACTAAATCCTCCACAACATGGTCATATTTTAATGTTAAAATAAAACCAAAGAATAGTACTATTTTTAACTTTAAATTATAATGTGATAATTTATATTACAATATATTATTTGAATAATGAAATTATATATTTCTAATTTTCTTTATTTGTACATCTGATATAAATTTAAAATATTTGGAAATTATAATCATTTTATAATGACATAATAAAAAGATGTTTTGATCATAATTTAAATTATATAAAGTGGTTATTTGTGTTCTAGATGGATTAAGAGGTTAATTTAAAAAAATCAATTAAAAAAAGACAAATAAAAATAAATATGCTTAATGTAAAATTAATAAAATAAAAAATAAGTGAAGAATAGAAAATTAATAATTACTGATCTACAAAATAAACTTCCATCTTCTCTAATTTTTTTCTTAATTAAATCCATAATTTTTATTTATTTCTTTTCTCTTTTCCTTTTTCTCTTGATAAGTTGCTAGTTAAAGGGGTGATGATTATTTCCTTTGATATACAAGATGAGATGAGAGTGTTTAATACTTATCTTTTATCTTTTAAATGTTATTGGGTATTTTTAATAAAGTAGATTAAATAATATCTTTTATCTTTTAAATATTTAGTATTTTTAATAAAGTAAATTAAACCATTTCACTGGTTATAATCTACATATATCTCATTCTCTGTATATTTATCAACAGTGTAAAGACATCTCTAATAATAACATTGTTTTTTTCACCTTAACAAATATAAAATATAAGTTTAGTGTGTCGCATTATATTTAAATAATTTATAATGTATTTAATTATAATAAATTGTTATTTAAAATTTAAAAGATTTTATTTTATTTTATCTTTTTTTAAGAAATTTGAGTATTTTTTTAAGAAATTAATAGACTTTTTTATTTAAAATAAAAAAATTAATATTAAAAATATATTTTTATTATTAATTAAATTCCTAAAATATTTTTATTAGATATTAAATAGTAAAATAATATTTTGATATCAACAATACTATACAATACACGTGATAATTTAAAAATTTAAAAATTATATTATTGATACAATTTTAATAAGATATGAAATTTATTATCACCAACTGTAATCTTTATAAGATAGTACGGTTATATGATCCAAAGTTGGGTCTTGGTGGGTTTCAGAGTGTAACGTGCGATTGAGATTTGGCAATTCACCACCAAAACCTTTGAATCTTATTCTATTCATTTCATGACCACCTACTCTGCACTGGTCACTTGTTGATCATCTCCATGCTCCATTTCACCCTCTTTAAACCTCAAACCCTTTCTCTTTCTTAACTTCTTCTATTGTAGCCCCAACCTCCCCAGCTTCTCAACAACATGACAGGTACCTCTTTTCTCCTCTTTTTTTTTTTTTTCATCCAAAATCTCATAGATGAAATAAGATATGGGTTTCCTTCAATCTTCATTTTGAGTTGTTTGTTTCATGCTCTTTCTTAATTGTGTCTTCATGGGCAATGGGTATGCAGTTTTTTTTTTTGTGTTTGTTAATGTTTGGCGCCATGTGTAGTTCTGATTGGTCCCAAATATATTATCTTTACCGAGGATTGTGTGAAACTATGTAAGAGCTGCTATATGCAGTTTTTATATGTTTAGGATGCCATGTTTTTTACTAGAACATAGTATTACATGCTTTGCTAATCAAGGTAGTCAAATCGCATTCTGGTATGGTGTGGCCGTCGCATGGTTGCTGCAGCGTCTCTATCACATGGCTGTGGGGGCGTATCCGTTTTGTGGGTGCTGCCGTCGACGCGTGGGAGTTGGGTGTCTCTGTTGCGTGGGTGCTACGGAGTATCCGTCGTGTTGTTACGGCAGCGACTGTCACGTTGCAGCAGCAGCGTGGTGGATCTGTGCGTAGGTGCGGCGGATCTGTGTTTGGTGCGCCAACCAATTTCTATGTTGTTTTCAAGGGTCAGGTTTGAAACCAGTGTCGTAGCTCATCCATTCAGTCCAAGTTTTTATGGCCCAATAAATTCACTCTTCAGAGTTCAAATTGGCTAAAATGGAGTGACTTATCCACAATAATGGTTGAGCCACAAGAGACTGCAGCTCTTCGACTGCATCATAATTAAACCTATTGACTTTTTTTCTTTTGCCTGTTATATGTTCTTAATATGATGAAAATCTATAATGGATTAAGTTTGTGGTTAGTTTATATGTATGAAATATTCTATTAACTTTGTCTTGATCAGTATATATATACTATATAAAACCATCCTTCCATGTGAATGAACATTGATTATACCCATATTGAACTACTAACTTATGTGCAGAGTGTTGTACTTGTGTATTGAGTTTATATTGGATTTGTCTTTTTGGCATTTACTTTTTCATTGGATGTTCAATTGGTTCTTTTAAAGTACTCAAAGGAGACCTAACTTTAATGTTGCTTCAAATTACAGATAATGAAGAACCGATGATTGCACCTGGATCAATGTCTGAATTAGCATTTAATAAATATAAACGATGGCAATGGTGGTTTCTTGTGGCACTCAGCATAGCGTTTCTTAATGTAGGCCAATCAGCTGCTGTTGTCCTTGGAAGATTTTATTATGATCAGGGTGGAAATAGTAAATGGATGGCTACTCTAGTTCAAACTGCTGCCTTCCCAATCTTATTCATTCCATTATATACAATTCCTTCACCTACAGAGGCTTCAACTTCTGTTTCACTTCCCATCAAAATTATTGTTTTGATATATTTTGCTCTAGGAGTCTTAATTGCTGCTGACAATATGATGTACTCCACTGGACTCTTATACCTCTCTGCTTCTACATACTCGCTGATTTGTGCATCACAGTTGGCTTTTAATGCAGTGTTCTCATATTTTATCAATGCTCAAAAGTTCACACCTTTGATTATAAACTCCACAGTGGTTCTCACATTTTCTGCTTCACTCCTTGCTGTTAACGAAGACTCAGATGAACCATCTGGTCTTTCCAAGGGAAAGTACATTATTGGTTTCCTGTGTACCCTTGGAGCTTCTGCAGTGTACTCTCTTTTGCTTTCCCTCATGCAACTGACCTTTGAGAAGGTTCTGAAGAAGGAAACATTTTCTGTTGTTTTGGAAATGCAAATCTACACGTCACTTGTTGCCACTTGTGCTACTGTCGTAGGCCTATTTGCAAGTGGGGAATGGCGTACTTTGCATGGAGAAATGGAGGGTTTTGGGAAAGGACAGGTTGCTTATGTAATGACTTTGGTTTGGACAGCAGTAGCCTGGCAGGTATGCTCTGTTGGTGTTGTTGGTTTGATCTTCCTAGTGTCTTCTCTCTACTCCAATGTTATAAGCACTGTCTCCTTAGCTGTTACTCCTATTGCTGCTGTTATAGTTTTTCATGATAAGATGAATGGAGTGAAGATAATTTCCATGCTTTTGGCTATATGGGGTTTTGCCACCTACATCTATCAGAACTATCTTGATGATTCGAAGGCAAGACATGCACAAGCTGTGGCTAATTCTCAGAATAATTCTGTTTGTTGAGAATAATAAATTTGGCCATATCTTTGCTGCAGTACCCGTTTTCCTTTTATGCTTTAAATCCTTCAGTATACCATGTGCTAGCTTAGATTTATTTCTCCTCATTCTCACGGAACAAGTGAGATAGTACAGTTAATGAGGTTATTGGTCATTTTATAGATTATTATTCTCTTATTTAAGAAATGAAAATATTATAGGTGTCAGGATTGGTTCGAAGTATCTGGTCTTCTGAATTCCAAATAGTTTTTTTATGGCTTTTGTGAATTGTGATAAGTTGAAAACAATCCTTGTAGGATTAGCGGAGGTCTTGAATTTGCTACAAGTTATCTTTGCTCTTTGTTTTTAATTGTTGATATTGATTATAGACCTTTTTCAGTGTCAAACTTTTTTATACTATCATATCCAATTGAATTGCTAAATACTTGTGAGTTCTCTCTCCCATTATTGTAACAACTACAAACTTCTGTTTATGAAGTCTGGTGATGCAGCCAACATACTATGGAAGTTGTTCAAAATTTAGCAAGAAATTTCAACAAGAAAATTGCCTCTGAATATTACTCACACACGTATGATAAATCATGTGTTTATTATTAATCTTTAAACTTTTCATTAACCTCACAGAAATCTTATTATTCTCACTGAAACGAGTCAAGTGAATAACTAGCTCCTTTTCTTTTCTCTCGGTTGCCTTCTGGAATACATGATGGACCAGGCTGTAAATAATGCTTGTATGGGAGTTACTATGCTATTTAACTGTTCTTGGTTCCATACTTTAATAATTAGAATTAGAGTTTCACTTAAGTAATTTTTGAAAATAGTATTTACAAGAATTTAAAAATTTACAGGTAAGTTTTGTCGTAAATGTAAAATCCTTAGCATTAACTTTGGTTCAAATCTTAAATAAAATCTTGGATTGAAATTTTGTCAACGAAAATTTAGTTAAGAGAAGAAATTCTACTAAAAATGTTTCAACCAGACATTTTGAATAAAATTAGTTATCTACAAAAGTATGATTACTTATTACTTATAAAATTTCAGAATAAAAAAATGAAAATACTTAGCAGAACTGTAAATGCATAGAGAAGTGGGAAAGATAGGGTAAACAGTTCAAAATAATGAGAGAAGAACGAAGTTAAATGAGGAGTTGTGGGTGTGAATGAAGAAGAATTGGGTTTGGCCCAATGAGCTATCACAATAAAAACTGATATATGTGAGTATTCAATTGCATGAGGTTATAGTTAGGAGTTAGGATCAATGAGTTGTCCAAATCATAAAAATTAGGTCCAATCTGGATGAGCTTAGTTATTATTTGTTGACAATAAATTGAATTTTGTATGCGTCACATAATTGATCTTGACAGCATCATCAATTATTCTTTTCACTTGTCTCATCAACTTCTTATGTATATGTCACAACTTTATAATTATGTTGATGTGAGATTTACTACAATTTCTTACCCACAATGTCCTAATGTGATATAATACTATTTCATGGATAAATCAGATAACATTTATTTTTTCTTTCAAACGGGGTGATCATCATTACGTATTGTTTGGGGTAAGAATTTGGTTTTTATTATTATTTTGATATAAAAAATTTCTTTTTGGACTTAATTTTTTAAATGAGATACTTGGACATACAAGTTCTAGGGATTTTTCAATATATTTTAGAAAAAAAAATTACAAACATAGTTATGCGACCCATGTTTGTATCATATACATCTATGAATTTAATGTTTGTAAGAAAATTATTATACAGCGTTATTCATAACTTCAAATATTAAAAACAAAATGAAAACTAAGTATTTTTAATCGTTTTTAGTGGCGATGACATTGTACGTATAATTTTTCTCAAAAATGTTAACCCGTTTTATAAAACAAATTCCATATTATTAATCATTTTTAACAAAATTCTTTTATAAATTTGCTTAATCTTCCCTTTAAGATCTTTTCACGCTAGTTTTAAGATAAGATTTTGACAATGCGTGGTATTAATATTTTCTAAAAAACATTACCTGCAATAAGAGTTTTATTTTATATCAAATAAGATTGTTGTAAAAATTATTTGTAATCCCTTCAAAAATTTATTTATTTTTTATTTTAAAATCCACGAATACATTTTTTCTTGTCTCTAGCGTGTCATGTGATTACGCTTTTGTGGAACTATGTCGAAGCATAAAGCATTTTTAACATTATTTGTCAAATAGATAATTTATTTGCATAATATTAATTCGTTATAACTGCAGAGAAAGAAATTAAGCAGTCGGAATAAAGAAATTAATTCACAAACTGTATTCAATCCCAAACAATAACAAGCACCAACACGGTGCATTACTCAATTCAGATGAGTTGCTATCAGCAATATCTGACTATCGATCATCTTCGTGTTAAATCATCATGCTATCAGATATGATTTTAAAATTGAGTTTCAAGGAATCTTTTTCTTTTTCTCTTTCTCAATCACACAGTCAAAATTGACTAAATTACTTGACTTCCCCTACTTTAAACTATTGGAGAACTCAACACACCAGCTACATTACTACATAAGTAATGAAAGTAGGAAAGCCATGATGGATAAACCTCTTTAAATATGACTCAACTCATACCAAAAATACTTACCCATCAGAGTTGGCCTAGTAGGACGAAGTTATAGCAAAAACATTAACCTCACTGCCACCATTATGTACAAAAGTAATAACAAAAACAAAATATTTATCTTATCTCTGAGGCCCAGTCCAGAAGGGAAATTGTAACAAAAGAAAACTACATTTGATCTTTCTTTTAATCGTGACAACAAGCATAACCCACCCCCAATTTGGCCTTGAAAGATTATCATATCATATGACCTCAATTTAGTCCTGCTAAATTGTAACTTCAGAAATTTCTTGATGTAAAAAAATTACCATCAAATTTACACAATAATAATGCTTAGCAAAATCATCATTACAGCACCAGCGTAGCATTTTTTTTCCCTGAGAAACCCTGTAATCTTACTCACCGAACAGAACTGCAAAATTCAATATCCTAATGCACAGAACACAATAATTTTCCACAAGCAGTTCATCCAAACTTAAACACGACATCATAACAGTTGAACATAGAAAACAACGCAACCCATAATCACATTTCACTCCCCTAAGCATTACCATACAACAGAATCATAAGCCATAGTCAAAACAATAAATGCTAAGATCACACTTTTTAACACACACTTGACATGATTAGCAATATTTTTAAATATTTAAGACTGTGTTAGAGATTGCAATTATGAAAAGCGGTTATTTACTACAGCATCTTCGAACATTGTCCCAATCAAAACAAGCTAATCCACTTTGAAAACGCATCGAAACACATAAGATGTGCAAGTGGAAACGGATCCAGGAATAAACTTACAAATCTAGAAAGGGGAAAAATAACAAAAACTTTGATAACATATAGGGTGGGATCAAACGGGGCTGAGAAGGTTGGAAAGTGAGGGTTTAGGATCAGAGTTCATACCGATGATGATAACCAACGGGATGAAACCATAGTGAGTGATTACCTTCGCTTTTTTCATCGTCCATGAGATCCATTCCTTCATGCACTCGCTCGCGGATCGATCTTCCGATTCCTTCGATCCTTTTGAACTCTTTCCCTTCGCTTTCAGAGAAAACCTTGGCGCCATTCAAAATCCCCTTTTTCTCTCCCTCCAAATTAATCTCCTTGCTAGATGGATGCCAAAACCCTAGCGTCGTCCGCAACGACTTGCGTTTCTGTCACTGTTTTAACGAAGCATAGTTCATAAAAACGACAACAGATTCTAGCGTTTAAGCTTGAAATGAACTTAAAATAAACTTTTTTATTTTTTAAAAAATTAAAATATTTTTAAATTAACGGGACGAAAGACGTATATTTTCCAAAAAAAAAAAAAAAAAATATATATATATATATATATATATATTAAATTTAACACAATTTTGCACTTCAAAAGTTTGACTAAGTTAAATAAACTTTTATGAGAACTTAATATGGTTAGTATTAAGAGTATGGTTAGTGTAGTTTCTTTTGAGTTTATCTTTCTTAAGTGAGAAGCTAGACAAAATGATTTTGGCATGTTTGGAGACATGTCTGCCATTTAGATCAAAATTGGAACTTTAAGAGGGACATTCCTTAATGTTGCATTCTGGGATGCTATACTTATTTTCTGTTTCTCAGCGTAATCAAGAGAAATATAGATAAATGATAAAAATCAATAGATTATGTCAGGTAGTGGAGTGTCACAGGCATTGAGAATTTTCTCAAGAGCTGAATTTTTAGGATGGCCTACTCTGCAATGCTGAAGTGAGAACATTGAAAAGAATTAACAGATATTATGCACAATCAGGTCCATGTTTCTTCTTTACAAGGGGGAGGATGAAACTAACAATAAATTGAATTGACAGTTTTCTAATCTTAATGAGGTTTCTAATGATTAATGGAACATGCAATAAATCTATGAGTAAGAGGGAAACAAAAAGCAGTAAAGGGGCATAAAAAGTGATTTAATGTCAGATTAAAGTCCCTGTGATCTTGACAGACAGTATATTGCTTGGTGTTTCCCATATGCAGACATAATATATGCAGAAGTGAGCTTCATTCGTGTGCTTCTGTAGTTTGCCTTCTTATACAAGTAATGATCAAGATTGAAACCTATGCTATGTTCATAGATGTGACAAATTCATTCTGTACATTATTCTTTATGACTTGACTAAAAACTGACCTCCATTTGTTCTTCCGAATAGATATGCACCTATTAGCAGAGGTTGATGATGAGTTTACAAATATTTTGATTATCACTTTTTCAGTAAATTTCCATTAATTAACTTCCATTATCTTGTATATGCCTCAGTTCAGACATGAGTTGTGTGATCATTGCTTATGTCATGCACTAATACACTTATTTTCGTCATGCATCATTTATCAGTTCGTCTCAAAGAAACCAATGATACATATATTTCTCCAGTATCAGCATAACTAATCTACCTCTTCAGTGTTTTCTGCTATACGTTTTCACTTCATTTTTTTGGCATCATTAGTAAAAATATAAATTTCTATTCTATTTTTAATAAATAATGATTCTTCCTATGTATTCATTTAAAGATTGAGATGAAGAATAATTTATATATATATATATATATATATATATATATATATTTTTTTTTTTTTTTTTTTTTAATTTATTAAAATTCCTTTAACAATAAAACCATTATAAATAAAAACTGGAAAGCGAAAAATAGAAAGGCTCATTTTATTCTATTTTTATGAATATTTTTTAATTTTAATCTTAATATATAATATCTTATAATTTTAAGATCCACATATTTTCTCATGGTACACTCTCTTTATATGATATTCGTGCATTATATAAATTTCTTAAAAATATGGTTAAAAAATTCAATTCTCACGTATATGTGCTCGTTAGGAAAAACTATTTTTAAAAATAAAAAAAGTTTATTTTAAAAATAAAAAAAGTTTATTTTAAAACATAAGTTTGTTGCTCTGGGCGCGCTGTATATATAACGCCCCAGACTAAATTTGAATATGATTTTTATTTAAATATAAAAGCGACTATTTGAATTAATAGAAAAAAAAATCAAAATATATCATTTAAAATAACCTATAATGAATGAAAATGGATAGTTAATAAACAAAATTATAAGAATTATAATAATTATTTTTACATGTAATTTATTTTACAAAAGTGTTCAATTTATAATAAAATGTAGTGATGATATTAAAAGAAAGATCAAAATTTCTCTAAAAGAAAAAAGATTAATATTAAAAGAAAGAAGATTAATCTACAGTGGTTTTTTTTTTTTTTCATTCCTCCTACACATCATAATGTTACACGTTGATATTGTAAGAAGTTCTAAATTATATATTTAATTATAAAATTCTCAAAAAGCCTCCTCCTTTTAAATTAAGTGTGTTTTCAATGAATGAAGGAGAATAGTAATTAAACATGCAAAAATTTGAATCATTTTAATTCAATATAATGGTTACGATAAAAAGACGTTTTCTAAATAATTAATGATTTATTTGTATATTAATTTAAAAAAAATTAAAATTAGCAAATTTATTCTATAATAATTAAAAAAAAATAAAAACTAAAAAAAATATTTAAAAAATTAAAACTAAAAATGATTTTTTTTTAGTTTTTTTTGTTCGTTAATTAGATTTGAAGATTTCAATAATAATTATATTAAATCATTTATTTTATCAATATAAAATTACTTTTAAATTTGATTATAATTTCTTATGATAGACTATATTATTATATTTTATCTAATAACTTTACAGAAAAAGTTATAAAAAAAAACTTATTTTAAGAATAATTTTCATAACTAATCTATTTTTAAAAATTAAAACTAGATAAAAATGTTAAGAATTTTGATTTATGAGACTGCATAAATAGGTATAAATCAAATCCAAAACTATATACCTCCTTCTATTCAAACTAATGAATTGACTGAAGCTTCTGGTGTCATTGTGAGTAACAACAAAAACAAGTAAAATGAATAATCATAAGAAAAAATAATGTATATTAAAAATATTTAGAAAGAAACTCTTGGTATAGTTTAGTTGTTAGTAACAAAAAGAGATTATAATGGATTATGAATATTATAACAAGTATCCTTTTAACGAACAGAATAGAAATACTAAACCTAAAGAAAAAGGTAAATTGGGGGGCATTTAAAAGGGTAGGGAAGGAATTAAAGGGGCCGCAGAAAGTAGTTAAGTGGCGTGGAGCCCACCCATGAGGCGAGGGTGGTGCCGGCATTGTGTTTGTGTGTTCCAATTCACCACCACAAACCCCAACATTCATTTCATATTCAACCCCTTTGCCCCACCCACTTCTTCACCTATTCACTTCCACTTCAACCCTTCATTATGCCCCTCACCACCACCACCACTATCTCACTACCTCACTATTTCTATTTTCTTTCTCTTTCATCCACCAACAATCCAACTACGCAATATTACCTTCTTCTACTATCAAAACTTTCCGCTATTTTCTCCAACTTTCTTCTCTACAAAAATTATATTCTGGCTCAGTGCAAATTATGACATTTTTTCATCCTTCATTTTTTATTTCTATTTCTTTGTTCGTTACTAAACTCATTCTTTTTTAAACTTATTATTGGTTTTGGACCAAGAGAAAAGTACTCGTTGTGCGCTTGGAAGTACAATCATGCCTCACATTAAGTAAAATTTAGTGCGGAATAGCCCTGTACTTGTCCTCCATTTTTTTTTTCCTATTTATAGTGTTTCAAACACGTATGTACCATTATTTAAATATTTTTTTATAAACACAACTTATTATATGTGCTGTTCTTATGTTAGATTTAACATTATTAATTAATGTAATAAAAAACAGTTAAATATTAATAAGTATTATCAAAATAAAATTTTATTTTTTATTATAAAATTGTAGAATCTAAATAATTAAATCTCGTGACGTGGTCGATCGTAGGAATGGGTGACGAGATACTTAATCTTTGTTATATCTAAGATAATCTAACTTAATATTTTTTTCAATAACCTAAAAATTTTATAAGAAACAACCAATCCTATTGGAGATAATTATAAAGATTTAGGATTTAGATTGAGAAAACAAATTTAATGATTCCCTGAAAAATGCGTTATTTTTTTAGCAACAAATTAATATTTTAGATAGACATTATCATTCTTAAGATACTAATTCACAACCATCTTATCTTTATATTTACATAGCTGATTAAGTGATTTTTTATTGACTTTTTCAAAGTCTTTATTAATGTTTTCGGAAAATGTCAAAGGTTATATTTATTATTATTATATATCTTTTTCGCGGTCAATTATTCAAATGCTGAATATAAACATCTCTCTCACAGGTTCAATTTAACATCAATTTTATCATAATTTAGGATCTTTATGATGCTTAAGTGTCTCATTATTATTTGTTCCTAATTTTGAATAACCTCCATTAAAGACACAATCTTCCTTTTTTCTTGGTAAGCATAGAGTATAATATAAAAATAATAATAAACTTATAATAAGTTATTTATTTGAAATAAACTGATTAAAGTACATTAATTGCAATTTTGAGTTCAAATGCAAAATTAATCTTAACTACAATTTGGGTTTCTTCGTCAAAAGTACATCAAAGGTAAAATTTACATAACTAAACTCATTTTTTCCAACATAACCACGCCATTAATTTGTTGACACATCAATTTAATACATCTTACATTTTATTTCGATTCACAATTAATTGAAAAAAAAACTCCAAATACTACAGGAAAAAAAAACTTATAGCGATTTACACTTAAATGGTTTATTAAAATTCTATCAGTTAATAAGCAACAATGTCATAAATTACCTACAATTGACTATTTTATTTCAGAAAAAAAATGTATTTACATTTATTAACAAGTCAGAATGATGATTAAAATTGCTCAGTTGTCAGTTGAGAAGGTGAATAAAAAATGAATAATGGAAAGGGGGAAATGTATGTGTAAACATTAATCGGATACACATTGCAAACAAGTGAAGTCAAAATCCCATCACATCAAATATGTAATTGCAAAATCACACCAATGTCAACTATATCTGTAACATTTTAAAATAAAATAAAAATCAAACCAGACTTTGTTTTCATGTAATGAACAATTTGTGTACAAAGAGAATTCGAAAAAAAAAAATGTTTTTTTTTTCCTTTACGCTGAAAATGAAATGATGAATGTGCAGGGTACCGCAAAACGAATAGAATGAAAATATAATCACCGGGTCGGGTCGGGTCGATCACGAAAAGTGAAAATCAACGATTATGGTTGACTCGTCCAAAATCTGCAAGCTTCCTGGAACGGTTCGCGCAAAAGGAGGCCGCGGCGGATAGGTGAGGCTTCGTCGCGCCTGCTCTGACTTCCGCCGCTGCGGCCATCTCCGGCGGTAATCCCTTGTGATTCCACCTCCGGTTCGGACTCGCCCGGACCAGCGGACTCAGGCAAAGCGCCATACCGGAACCAGACGCGCTCTTCGTGTGTCCAAACCGCGACCGACGCGCCGAAGGCGCAACCGTCGGCGTCCTCCGCCACCACGGCGAAGCCTCCGACATGTATCCACTTCCCGAGGGCGACTGGTCGCCCTCCTCGCCGAAATCCTCGGTCGTCACCGGCGACATTCCGCGATCCGACGGGCGGTAGCGCCGCCGCGCGGTGGAGGAATAATCCTCCGACGGGCCGGTACGATCCTTTTTCCTCCGGCGAGCAGGGAAAAGCGAGGAGAACCACGACGGCGACGCGTACGAGGATTGCTCGCACGACGGATCGGATTGGAACTTATCCGATCTGGTCCTGAAGAGCCTGGAGAATATGCGGAACTTGTTCAGGCGTTTCTTGAACGACCTTGCGTCGCCGCGGTACGCGGAATCGCCGGCAAGGAAGGTGGGTCCGAGCTGCGGAGTGCTGTAGAAGAGATGCGCGCGGCGGTTGTCGCGGTCGTCGCAGCCGTGCCATGCGTCGGCGTAGTCGGACTTACGGCGAGAGACGTAGGGCGAGACAGAGCGAGGGAAAATTAACGGAGGAGGGGGGTTGGGGTCTGAGATTCTGGAACAATCGTCGGAGGCGCGTGAGATGACTCGCGTCAATTGGGCCTGAGGGTGATGGGCTTGGGCTTGCGCCTGGGCAGCGATGAGGGCTATGAGACGTTCCCTGAGACAGGAAGCGCAGACGCCGACGGTGCTGCTAAGGTCTAAGGTATGTTTCTTGCACTTCATTTGGGTGTTGCATACGACACCGTTTTGTGCGTTGTGACAGCGTTTTTTGTTTGGCCTATTTTCTTTGGCACCAGCATTCGTGGGTGTGTGAGAAAGAGAGAGGTTACTGTGTGTGCTGCAGAGAGTGAACTGAAAAAAGGAGATCTGATTGAGGATTATGATGGCTTGGTTTGTCTTCTTAGAAAACAGAGAGAGCGAGTGCGAAAGTGAAGAGGAGAGAGAAAGCGAAAAGCATTTGTTGGTGTTGTTGAGTGTGGGAGTGGAAGTTGAGGCCAATTCAATTGAAACGCTAGATTCTATTATATTTGGGGCAGAAAAAAAAAAGAAGGATAGAGAATTTGAGATGCAAAAGAAGTAGTCAAAATAACTTGGAAAAACATTTCTCCTCCTTCACACTACAAAACATAAATATTCTTGTTTTCATTGAAAATATATCTTTTTGTAAATAAAATAATAAGGATATAACTGTTCTTGAATGCAAGTTTAAAATTTTTAATTGGGTTAAACATATTAAGATACTAAATTTTGTTGTTTAAAATAGTTCTATTAGGAAAATAAAATGAAAATAATCAATGGGTGAAGCGTAAAGCTTTGGAATGGAGAAATAAAAAAGAGAAAATCAATAGATATGATAATTGGTGTAATGAAAAAATAAAATAAAAATATAATCTTAAAATGAGAGTAGGGACAAATTGAATTTTAAACTTACATAGGTTGAAGAAAAGGATGGAGAAACTACTTTGTAGTATGACAGATAAGGAAAGGTTCACGCTGGACTGGAACACCTCCATCATTCATACAGCATCTGCTTCTACCTAGACTATCCTTCGATTTTTTTTAATATATATATATATTAAAAAACTAGATTATAATATTGATTTCAATTAGTTTAATTAGTTAATTTTATGTAAATATTTATTAATGCTTGGTTGATTTATATGAAAATATTTCGAATATGCATATTTAAAATTATTTTACGTATAATCAGTAAAATAATATAATTTTGACAACTACCAGCGTCAAATATGTGCACACACTTATTTAGTCACCTCATTAATGATTACAAGAGAAAAACAATACTACTTCAAGTAAAATAAGGTGAATAGTTGAAGAACAATGTTGTGGGGTATTTACGATTATTATTATTATTATGTAACGTATTCTAAGGTTTTACTAACCACATATCTTGGCTTGTGGGCATACAGTTATTCGTTGGTTGAATCTTGAATCTGTGGTTTCTTACCGTTTTCATCCCCGAACTTTAAAAAACCTTCTTTTATTTATACTTCAAAATTTTGATTATTTTGTCTTAGACTTTTCCTTAATTATTAGTTTATATCACTATTACGTATACGTTGAATGAGAAATAGAATATTGAAGAGCGTGAATGCCACGCTTCATATGAAGCCTTGATTCAGTCAACGAGGTCAAACTTCGGCCTTTCGTCATCATCAACCAATCATCCTTTAAAGTTCTGAATATAACGGTAACCATCTTCTTTTTCATTGCACGCTGTAACAAGCTGTGCCATTTTTTTTCCTTTTTCTTTTGCCTTATATGTGGACCAAACTTTCTTTTAAAATTCAAAATAAAGATCCCATAATAATAAAAAAGTTAAACTGAAAAAACCAGTTACCTTATCAGGAGATTCAGTCAAATACTGTTTTTTATTATCATTATTTATCAGTTTTACTCGTAACTTTCTTTTATTTTAATTATTTTTTAATTGAAAACCTTACTAGTTTTACAACAGAATTCTTCATAATCTTTAACATAAAAAAATGTGTGACATGAAGCTTGTCAGTAGATAATTTATTTTACTATTTTTTTAATAATATAATCTCTTTCAATTAAAACTGTATATGGTATCTTCCTAATAAGATTTCACCTATAACCTATCTACCCATATTTAAAGGTAAAAATTACTTCACTGAAACTTTCATAACTTGTGCATTTAACAACTCAAAATATTAGTATAATAATATGTCATTATTTAATTCATAAAAACAGATGTTTGGTTCTAAACCCAACATTTCCGTGAAAACAATACGAATATCATTGGAGTCGTTTTCCGCTGTGATTACAGTCGTTTAATTAAAAATTACCCTAAAATAATCTTCAGCGAGGAACATCAATAGAGTTGTTGAACTCCTCTCGCAATAATGTTAAAACGCTCAACACTTTTTTTTTTTTTTTTCACTTTTAAGCTACAATACTGTATGAATTTAAAAATACATATTACTGTTTACTTAATTATATTTTTAAACAAGTTTTTCCATTATTTTTTTAACTTGAGAGGTCATGTTCATATAGAGTAAATGATCTCACATGCGGCTTCTGCCTCAGTTGATTCCAATAATGAAATGAAATAAGACCTAATTTTCAAGTTTAAGAATCCCATTGATCTTATGCCTCATTTGACTAAACTGCAGTATGAGCAAAATATTTTGACCGAGTATATTCAATTCACCGTTTCACTAATTGTCCCTTCTTTATTTCACTTCACCAAAATAATATTGGGTGGTTGTTGATTATATTATTTACGTAGTGGTTTGGATTCTGACACATCATTGGATATAATGTTGTGGAGAAACTTTAAGGGGTACATGCCCTTGCTTGCACGCATTAAGGTTCTCTCAACCCCTATCAACGATCCCACTGCATAGAGTATATAAGCTGAAATAAAACTGTTCACAGTTAAAACAAAATGATTATCTCTTTTAGAAAAACATTTTACCTAACATTATTGTCTCGATTAAGGAGTATAACTTCTATAAAATACTAAATTAGACAAAAATCCATAAGTATATATATATTTTCTTTTCATAATTAGGTATTTCCGTGCAATTAGTATCATTGACTTCAAAGTCTCTTTTGCAACTGCCAATGTTCCTCGATTTGGACAACTCATTAAAACCATAAAGTTGTGTAATTCTACTACTATTGTTTTGTAGTACTTCGATTTAAATGTTCAACGTTATTAAGTTGGGGTTAAACTTATGATAATTAAAACTGTAAGATTAACAAGGTGGTGTAAAATGTTAAATTAACATAAAGGCATGTCCTAGAAGATTAAAAAATGCAACAAATTATTACATAACAGCAATCCAAATATAAATTTGATATCTAACATTTTGAAATAAAGTATCAAGCAAAAACCATTGAAGAATAAAAGTAACTTTTTGGCGTTTGTTCTTAGGTGATTATAGATTGATAACAGTGTTTATTAAAAACATCCGTTAGATAACTCAGTATCTAATTAGTACTTTTTTTTTTTTCAAATGATGTTGTTTTTAGATACATGTTGTTTCATCGTTTACTCTTCCTGAAAGAAGATCTACACTAAAACTACATACACTCTCATAATCTCTTTTTCACCCAACTCTCTTACCCTCCCATTCTAAATAATATTAGGTTTTGACCAAACGGAATCGTCGGCGTTTGATAAGTATAAAAATTACCTTTCTCCAAATTTCACGAGTTAGTTCATCAACAATTTTAAAAAGGAAAAAAAATTATACATTTTTACAAAATTATATTTAAACGATAGATTTAATATAAATGTATAAAATATATAAATAAATAAATTTTATTTGAATGTTAATTATTAATTATAAGTTTCACAAAATAAGCTAAGAATTATACGAAATATATATTTTGATTCTTTTTAATATTGAAATATTTAAAAATTTACGTTTAATAGATTTTTTAAACATAATTTTAATTTTAAATTTGTAAAAAGGACAAGATGGCCCGATAGTAACCCACTAATAACAATTTATATAGAAATTTAAATATATTTTAAATTTTACAATATAGAGTTCTTTTTTTAACTTACAATTGTATTTTTCTCTTTTTTTGGCAATTTTAACTTAAGAAACAGCAAGGACTAAAATAAACAAGAAAAATAAATATTATGAAGACAAAAAAAATTCTACAGTATAGAAACTGGAAAACAATATAAGTTAAATTATAAAAAAATAATATTTAAACACTAAAAATTGAAGAGAATATATTAGTCTAAAATTGACATATATGTTGGACTAAAATATAAGAAAATCCAATTAATTTCACCTTATTTAATCATTTTTTAAAATATATTTATGTTATTATTATTATTATTTATTTATTTATGAAGTCAAGTTTCATTGATGGGCCATTCTTAAAAATTATTTTTAATTGAGATTTATAAAATCAAATGAAATTAATGACTCTTTTGATTAGTATAAAATTAGTTATATTTTATATCCTTGGACATATAAATTAATTCACAATAGCACCTATATATATATATATATATATATATATATATATATAGAAATAGAGATCACCTCATTTGAAGAATAATTGTAATATAATTCTAATAGTTAAAAAAATGATTCCAATGAATAAATAAGTTTATCCATAATATTTAAAAAAAAAAAACAAACATGGATCATGCTGGTTGTCCTACTAAATACTAAAATAAAAATTAGTAATAAGTTTTTTCATATTAATTTTGAATGAAAAAAAAAGTTTCTTTTTTATATATGGAAACTGATTCTTAGATTTTTATTCCTAAAGAGAAATTAGTAGTGCTTCTCTGTTTGGGTTTTTTGGGAATGCAATGCGAACATGAATGATGGTGGAAGCGTGATTTCGGGGTTTGACAAATTAGGGCGTGTTTGGACCATGACACAAAATCATTAATGGTGAATGGACTAAAGAAGAGAATACAAATTTCCACGTTTGGCGAAAGACGGCACGAGGTTTATTGACTACAGAAAGTTACGAAGTTAATTCGTACACCTAATTTGTTCCTCGAAAACAACTTGTAATAAATGTTAAACCTTTTTTTCGTTTTCATAATTTGGAAATAAAATGAATGGGTTCAAATTGGACGTTGAACTTTCTTCTTCAAATAAATGTTTTCAACGATCAAATGCATTGCTTGCTTGAATGGTAATCAAAGAAACCGAATATGTGGTTCAGACCAAGCAATACATTTAAGCTTTCTTAACGTCAAAATCATCATTCCACGTTAAATACTTTTTTTTCTCTATCTCTTTAATTTTATGGGCAAAACTAAAATACTCGTAAAAATATGCACTGAATGAGAGTGTAAGATTTTTCTATAGTTAATCAATTAAAAAATAAAATAAATACGAATTTTTTGCTGTGTTTGGCTTAAATATTAAGGATATAAATAAAAGGATTGTGGATCCCACATAACAATTTTCATTGCTGAAAAGATGAAAAATGTGAAAGTTGGAAGAGGTGCCTAGAGAGTATAAACCAGAAGATGTAAGAAATGAAAGTTTTTTCTTTTTCTTATTTTTTGTCTGTTTGTTTCTTTTAGATTGCATATTTTTAGAGTTTAAATATAATATACATTTATAAAATTGTCGTACGTAGTCATTTCATTATAAAAAATCGTTTATATTACTTTTAAAGTAATAATTGTAAAGGTTACTAATAAACGTGTTATAAAATGTGACTTGAGATTAGATAACAGATTTGCATATACTTTTTTTTGTTTTTTTTCTAATTCACATTATTTTTCATTCTTTGATTTTCTTCTAATGAAATAGACCTTGGTGAAAATTGTTAAGAATGAGCAAACTATGCACATGACAAGTATTTTATTAAGCGATAGCATACACAACCTTTATTTTTTAATATTACTCCAATTTAATCATCTCAATGATAATGATGTCTCTGTGGACTTTCTAGAAAAATGTCCTTTTTATTTGGGAAAGCCTAAAAAAATATTTTATGATTTCTAAACATATATGTTATGTGCGTTGTTTTCTTTCATCAATTTATAAGTAAGAAGTGTTTTTTTTTTAAGTATAAATTGTATAAGCTTAAAATTGAAATAATAGTTTTTCTCGTAATAAATTATTTGTTTACAGAAGTTATATAACTATAGAATAAAGATGATCAAATTAAATAAAGAATAATTGTTTTACTAGATTCAAACTCATCTTAACATTATTGACGTAGAATAAAGTGGTTATTATCTTTTTCAAAATTCAAATATACTTAATTTCTTATTTGTCATATTTTCTAATGACTTTTCACATTTATCATATTTTCTACTGGATTGCATATGTTGGAAGGGAGATTTTACAGGTAGACCTAAGATCTCTGAAAATGTCATTTTGAGGACATAGATAAATTTCTACGAGTATAATATCACAATTTGTTGATTAAGGACGAATATGTTCTTTTGAGTTGAGACTTTAGAATCACTTTAGTGTTTGGTTTGAAGAAGCAAAGAAAACGGTAAGGGAAAACGGAAGGGATTAATATTGGATGTAAAGATGTTTCATATTTTGTGGTGTAATTGTACACAGACCCTGTGAGAAGGGATTATATTTTGGAAGATAATGCACAAACAAACAAATATATAACGATGTTGAGGTTGTTATATGTTTAGAGATAAAAGTTTATTAGGTGTTTAAATCATTAGGGTAGAACCTTTGGAGAACAGGATATAATTATTCAAATAATAACGATATTAAAAATAAAACATTACACACGTAATATGATGGATAATATGCGACGTCATTGAAATCACGACATAAAACCATCAAGCCAACGAATTTGACTCAGGCTCCAAGTCCCAACATTTCAGTTTCCTCTCTTCGATTTTATGACAATTATCAATTAAAATTAACCAAGAACTGAATTGATTTTTATGGCTCAACCATACCCTTTAAAAAATTATACATGATGGTGGCAAAAGTTTAATATACCAGAAAATAAGATGGCATAATGCCCAACAGAAATAAAAATTACATTTTACACAAGCATTCATAGTTATGTAGAAAAAAAAAATTATATACCTTCCAACTAAGAACAATTGATACGGTACAAGCTAAGAAAAGTTTCAACATCAGCAACTGAATATCCTCTAAAACAAACGCTGTCCATCTAACACATCTTACTAACACAAATAAGCCCCCCAGATGAAGCACTGAATTCATAGCAGAGTATTGATAGACAGGAACTACACATTTTGGCTTTCTTGGTGTCATCTCTGGAAGCTGAATAGACCGGAAATCTTTTAAATTTTGGTCCTTACTGTTAAAAATTACTCCCTAAACATGTAAATTTGAATCATTAAAAAAGATTATTTCCCGTTGTTTTCAAAGAACTAGTTCGCCTAAATAAACGAATAGATATACGAACAAAAATATGAGACCCAAACTAAAAAACTGTTATAAAAGACAAAATCCTATCAAGTATTGCTTTGCAGTTTACCGATGTCTGCACATTAGTAGGGCACAAAATTGTACGACAATAGTTCATTCAAATTATTTGAATCTCAAACTGAAGTAATTTATCACTTGAAATAAGTTATTATTGGTTTTAATCCACAAAGCACTCTTGAATAATTTTACACTATCAATGAACTATAAAATGCCACTTTTTAAAATGGGGTTAAATTTTTTTAAAAGAAAGAGGAGAATCTTAATTATTACAATGACGTGGCTGTTCCTTGTTTACTAAAATTTTCCATTTGAATTGACCTAGTTCATAAGAAAAAACTTACGCTGGTTGTTGGGTGCCAGTCTGTTGTATCAACTGAGAGTATATATATTCATCAACTCTCTGTTTTGCCAAAGCTACCTGTTCACAAAATTCAAGCTTCAACAAAAAGGTTGTAACAGCTTAAAACCAATTAAAAGGGTAGAAAGAGCATGCGACAGTTTCAATTCCATGTAAGACGTGCATGTGTATAAAATGTCAAATTAAATAGGTAAAATGATCTAAAGCTGAAAACTTAACTATTTTTGTTTCAGGGAAAAGAGGGAGGCCATGCACAAAGACACATTATTTGAGAAGTTCCAATATTTTGAGTTGATACAATATAAACCTAGCAAGTGTACGTATTTCAACAAGGATTACTCGTCAAGGACAAGGATAAAGCCTAGCATCATGTTTTTTTCACATAAGAAGCTAGGACTTTCACAACACAAGATTCAGGGTGCCACTATGCAGTCTATGTTACAAGGCCCAGTTAGTTCTCCTTCTCTCCCACTTTCACAAAAATAAACAATTCATATTTCATGATGTAAGAAAATAGAAATATAGAATTGCTAACTGTATGCTTAATTTTATGCAATAAATAATTATCCATATGCACTTACTGAAATAGACATCCCTTGATGGGACCTGAACTAAAACTATGCTGGGGTAGACAAGTTAAGGGCAAAATTTGTACAAATTGGTTGAAAAATATACTGCTTAATCTCAAATCAGTTGCCACAGTTCAAGAAAAAAAAAACTCCAAACCAGTAGCGTAGTCATGAAATGCACCAGTAAAACACAGATAAAATCAATAGTTATGTAACAAAACATGTCTCAAACATCAAAAGGATATTGTTTTTTTCTTCTAGAAACATTAGAAGGCCAAAAATCAATAAAGATCACCTGTTGAGCACTACCACCAAATTGAATTTGTCTATGCTTTTGTTCACCTTTACCACCATAAACCTGAAACATTTCCCAATTTAATTAGAATTATTTTTTTTTTACAAACCACCATTTAATATATCTTAGAATAATCCAAACTCCAGAAATTTTAAGAATATAATTATGTTAACAAAATTTCATTTATCAATATGTTGGAAATAGATCAAGTGATCAAATAGAGAAACTATATGCTGTTTAATAAAAAAAATTAATGTAGTTTGAAATTCAAGGGTTTCCATAATAATTCAAGAAGTGTAGAATGCTCAATTCTCTTATTTGGTATTTTTGTTGCTAGTGTATATTTTTTATATGATTGGTCTCTATAAGATAAACCACAAAGTTCAGGCCCAGCATCTATATATTGGTCTCTGTTCAATATCACACAATTGTAAGTCTTACATGGTTTTAAATGCAAATGTGAGGTACAGGGGCTTCTGTTTTTAATGCCAAAAATCGTGAGGAAGTAAATATGGTTCTATATCATAACAATTAAAGATGAATCAGCATGCAAATTCTTTGCAGGACTGCGACTATCTATTTGATGGAGTCACATATTTAAGCTATTACTGCGCTTCAACCTAGGAGGAAGTAGAAGACTAACCTTGATCATTGCTCCAGACTCATTTCTGATCCTTGATATGTTTGAGCCACACCGGCCAATCAGCCCACCAACCATCGTTTCCGAAATCAGCATCTCGAATGTAATATAATCAACTGCAAGATTGGTTGTCCTAAAGATGAAGTGATTGTAAGACAATATTCAAAACATAATATAACTATTAAATGGCAGCCAAACGTTGTTCTAATATAGAAAACATTAAATAACCTGATGTTGGGTCAAGATATGGCTGGGATGATCGAATTGCAGCATAATTGTAAGTTGGGCTAATTGAAATCACTTGTCTTGGTGGGTTTTCCCTATGCAAAATTTGAGTTAATATATAGGTTAGGCAAAATGACAAACTAATTTTCAAAATTAGAACCAGGTTCAAAATTAATATATAACAAGTTCACTAGCAGACCTTAGTTGACAACCTATCTCATCCAAAGCCTTCATTACCGAAGGAACATCTCCTGACAACTAATTTCAACAAGAACGAACATTAAAATTCAGATTCCCAAAGTAAATTTGAAGCAGCATCAGAAGAATATGATAACAAGAACAGCAGAGCAAAGAACACAGAAAAATGCATAATTCAACCCTCAAATCATATTCATGCTACTTGATACAAATGAATAGAATCTAGAACTATGACTTGAACATGAACACATTAATACTATATATGCAAAAGAGTATGACATTCAACATCATGCAAACATTATCTTGGGAAAATTGCAAACAATTAATAACGTTGTTATTATGTTAGTCTATCCGTAATTAACACAGTACATGAAATTTCAAAGAAGAAACTAAGGTTCCCTGCCATCTTGGTTAAAATATCCAAGGTGAAGGCAAGGTGATATAGAATCACTGATAAAAGTGTTCCTGAAACCAAAATTCTTTATAGTAAAAATTGATGAGCATTAGTTTAGATATCTCACCTGCACTACTCTGTCAGATTCATGGGCAGAAGCACATAAAGGTAACTGATTTGGCGCAAGAACAGTAATAGAGGCACCAGAAGAGTCCCTCAATTTCTCAATGTTTTGGCCAGACATCCCAATTAATCCACCTGCCTGGGACCCTGCAATCAAAAGTCTTATCGTATTGGCAGCCACATGTCCTGCAGTAACTTTTGATGCATCAAGACTACTATCATCTTCCTGTTATATGGAAGCATTATCAGTGCCGCTCAATAGCAGTGACATACAAAATTAAGACCAACAGGGCCACATGAATATTAACAGAAGTACATGATAATCTCAACAGTGGTCTAGAAAAAACTAAAGTGGCCACATGGGATACAAAGATGCACGGATACGGACATGTACTGTTTTCAAAAAATACTATACAGGGTTACAGCAATTTATACAAATGATATAACACACAGGTATGAATATGACAAGGTATATAAAAATATTATGTTACATGAATTCATTAATTACAAAAATAAGTAAATATTTGGTTTGACATGCTAAAGTATTTTAGAGATAAAGCTTTTCATGTTCTTTGTATATATAGTTGAAGGATGCTTCCTAAAATTGTAACATATTTCACCTTATTTTTATCTGTTCAAACATCTACCAAAATGTTCCAATTTTTTTTCTCCAATGTGAAGGAATATATATAGAGGCAAGCCTTAGTAATTCAAGTTTGAAAGCTAGACAAACAATAACCCATATTATTTTAAAATCAAAATTAAACAATCCACCCTGGGTTTTATAATAATTTATGAAACAGAATAGTAACATAATGATCGATAAAATATCACAAAAGATTCAAAGCTCTAGTCGAATTATGCATATTACAGAAAGCATGTGAGCCAAAACCGACTAGGACCAACTTACCTTTAAAATTAAGTGAGCTATTTGTTCAAGAGCTTTCTCTGCATCAGTAACTTTTTCATCATTATCCTTAGAGCTAATAATGATAACACGCTCTTCATGTCTCTGCCCAAAAAATTATATTGGATTTGGTAAACACCAATTAGCCTGAATAATAACTGGACCCATTTATTTTAAATGCAAATTTAAGCACTTCAATTAATATATCAACTCTTTACTAATAATCAGAAAACCTGAATGAAGTGTATAACATTCACCATAGATTAGGATATATTTTCCATTTTACATAAAAATACATTATTCAGATTTGGATAAGGATTATATTTTTTTTGGATCGTAGTAGGCAAGACTTGCATGGAAAAATATTTTGCAAGGGTAGTTTCTGTTGAAAATAATAAATAAAAGCACTTTCTCTTATTTTATGTTATCAAACTCCAGGATTTATCAGAGACATGACAATTTGACAGGAGCCAACCAAGGCTATTTGATTCCTGATTTATTGATATTCATATTTAGTCGTTAGGTTTATTCCTTTGAGTGGTCATGTAGCATGAACAAGCAAGTGACTATGTAACATAAACAAGTTAATGTCACTTGCATGTGATTTGTTTTCTATCCATTACATAACAGAAAATATATAAGGAGAGGGACTAAAAATGTATTTCAATAAAATTAAAGTTTGATTAGAGAAAAAAAAGTAGGGCAGATTAGGATAAGTGTTGATAAGATTTTTATTTTTTGTTTTAAAACAAATCAAAATACAGGATATTAAGAGTAGGGCAAGATTTTTCATTGTTTTCCTAGTAGGAATAGGACATTGTTATGAAGATTTTGAATCAAAACGAAGAAAAGTGTAAACTGTATGTAACAGTCACAGAATAGTGATCATTGCAAAATAAAGCTCCAGAGCAATAGGCATCCTATAGTTTTAGGGTTTGCAGTCAAGAGTGGACATGCATCAAATTTCAGAATACAAGGCAGTACCAAGTTTCCAACTTTCTTGAAAAGAGTTGCAGTTGAGATATAAACTGCCTCAGATTATAATCCAACCAAAGGGTAGAATATCGTGTCCACACACCAAGCAACACACGTTTGTAACAACAACAGAATAGCAAGGAAAAAAAAAAAAGCAATTACGCTTATCACGGTACCACTATCTTAATTCACTAATTAATTCCTGACAAGCCTTAAACACAAATTAGATACTGAAAATAGCTCTCTACCCAAAGTAGTCCTCACATTTTTTTCCTCACAGCTCAGCTACCAAAAGTGTTTTAGAATATCAGTCAAGTTGAACAGTCAAGCCCTTCACACCTACATTTTTGCATTGGGATGTGTAAAAGGTCCTTTTTCAGTTTAATGTTCTTGAGATATAAATCCATTAAAATCCAAACATAAAAATCTGTCAAGTCATAAAATTCGTAAAATGACTTTATAATCCACAAGACTCCTCAATAGCGAAATAGGCCATTTTGATTCAACTCACCCTCATAGATTAGTTCTGCCAAGATTTTCGATTTAAATTTAAAACCCGAAAATATGAAATTCCTAGCCTTTTGTATCTCTATGCCACCACTTAACGAATAAAAGAACCTACGGCAATTGCGTCAGCGATTTTGATGGTTGCTTTGGTGTCTTCTCGAATCCTCTGTATGCGGCACCCTTCCTTCCCGATAACCTTGCCGATCTGGCGCGAGGGCACGACAATCCTGAATATGACGTCCTGTCCCTTGGCACGCTTCGCTGCGGACTGCTCCGGCGCGGAGGCGGTGCCGGGAGCCTCTTCATCGCGGCGGCGCTTCCCGGATGAGGCGGCGGCGGGGTCGTGGACGGAGAAGGGAATCTGTAGCGGCATGGGGAGGGGCATCTGCATCTGCATGGGCAAGGGCAAGGGCATGGGCATCTGCATCTGCATATGCATGGGCATAGGAACCTGCATGGTGGCCATGGGGTTCTGCGGGGGGACCATGGGGTTTATCGGAATTTGACCTTGCTGCGACATCGCTGGTGCTTCTTCTCTCCAGGAGAAGGTATCGGAGTGGGAAAGAGTATCAGTTTTGTTCGGGAGCAAAATATAGGGTTTTGTTTCATGGAATTACTGAGATGCCCTTGGTGAATTGCCTCGCGACACGAGCAGTGTCGAGATAAACTCAAGACTCTTTTTTTATATTGATTGAAATTTATTAAAAATAATTTCTTAGATTTCATTTCTAAATTAAAAAAATACCATTAAATAAAAGTAAAATCTACCAAATTTATAGATTATTTTTTTTAAATCGTGTTTAATTCGATTCATTGATTTTTAGAAGGTCAAATTAATATTTTAAGAAGAATAAATTCAATTAGAATATTATAAGACACTTTTGACAAACACATCAAAATATAGATTTTATTTTTTTTAGAAAAATATAATGTTTCTTTAAGAAGGAGAAACAAATTATTCGTTATATTATAATAATAATAATAATAATAATAATAATAATAATAATAATAATAAATAAGTCATTAATTTAAAAATCACACAAACAAGTGAGAAAAATATAAAGTCATAATTAAGAATAATAAATAAACACATTTAAACAGTTATGTTAATTCAAAGTAATAGAGATCATGAAAACATTATATCAATAATTTATGAAAATTGAATTTTAATATTTTTTTCATTTTGTTTAGTAAAAATAAAAACTTTTAAAATAAAATTTTAATGTACAGCTTAAGATAGTGTTTCACCCATCCATTTATTATGTATATTAATTATATTATAATACTAAAATCACAAGTATTGATGAGTATTATTTTCACTCTATAGAACTTAATTTATATCTTAAATTAATTTCACATTGAAATTTAACAAGAACATATTAGCATATCATATTCCTACACTTCAATTCTTCCATATTTTCCTTAGTAATTTAATAAAAAATAATTTTTTGAATTTATTTACAAACTTTAAGTTATTATTACACAATTTTTTATTTTTTAATTTGATCCTCAACTTTATAATTTAATATTAAATTAGTTTCTTAAAAATAATTTCATGAAACTTAACACATATTTAATCGAAGACGCGCATGTTCTCTCGGGTTCTCGATTCAGCTCAGTTCTGCGCTTCTCTCTGGTTAACTAACACTGCTTATTTGCCCGTGAAAACGCCTCTCTTCCGTGAGCTGTTTCTGAACGACGGTGCGTTTTGAATATTGGCTAACTCGATTCGGATTTCTCCGCAATTCGAAGACAGTGAATGTTTTAACCGTCTGTGACTAGTTTGAAAAGTGCCTGTTTGGGTTAGTTCATTTTGTAAATTTTTTTTATTATTATTAAATTTTCTGAGATAGTTTTTGAAGAGAAAACCAAAAGTCAAACGTGCACTTCTGTTACTATTTACAGATTGCATAATAAGCTGCCATGAATAATTGCAGTTTAACTTGCACTTTACAGGTGATAAATTTCTGCCCTCTTGTGTCAATGACATTGAAACATTGAATTATTAAGCGTTTTGTTTAGGGAGAACTGACATCAGTGGTTAGAATTTCTTGTCATGGCTTCACGAGTGATTTTGCAAAAGAGAAGGAGCCTCTTCTTCACCCCCCTTTGTAGTCAATCTAGTCGCATTATTTATGGGTTCTCGAGTGTTGGGCACGCTCACCCGCTAGAATCTAGTGAGTTAGAAGGTTTGACCTGGTTTCCCTTCTGTTCATCTGCGACTACAGAACATGTACAGGAAAAAAATTTATTTACTGTGAACAAAGATGATGTAGCAGCTTGTGTAGCTTCAAGATTTATCTCACATAATACCTTTAGAGTTTCAAGTTTTGGATTTAGATGTGACAAAATAGAGTTAGTTCATCTTTCAAGATTGGGATGGATATCCCAATGTACTCGTTATATTTCCACATCTCCAGCTGATCAATCTGGATTGGGTAGCACTAATAGGGGTAGTGAACAATCAGCTGCTAAACAGAAGAAGGAAGCTTCACCAGAGGAATGTGACGAGGCTGTAGAAGGCTTGAGCACCATAAAGGCAAAAGCTAAGGCTAAACAGTTGCAAGAAACACAGAAGAGTGCTGATTCTATTATAAAAAAGTTATGGGCTAAGATTTTAGGAATTGGTCCAGCTTTCAGAACTATAATGTCAATGAGCAGGTTTAAAATTTACCACCTATTGTTTTTGTGTGTACAATAATTTTTTGTGAGACTTGTTTTATTTTCCATTAACTAGGGATGACTGGGCAAAGAAGTTTAGCCATTGGTGGGATGAATTTAAATCTACCCTGCAACACTACTGGTTTGGCACGAAACTACTTTGGGCTGATATTAGGATAAGCTCCAGATTATTGTTGAAACTTGCCGGTGGAAAGAATCTTTCTAGAAGGGAGAGGCAGCAACTCACAAGGACAACAGCTGATATTTTCAGGCTAGTTCCATTCGCTGTATTTATCATAGTTCCATTTATGGAATTATTGTTGCCAGTATTCCTTAAATTGTTTCCCAACATGCTACCATCCACTTTCCAGGACAAGATGAAAGAACAGGTGATTATTATTATACTCATCAAACAATCCATGCTTGATTACTGGTGTGCTTTATTATCACTCAATTTTGGGAAGGCTTAACTTGTAGGAGGCTTTGAAAAGAAGGCTAAATGCACGAATAGAATATGCCAAGTTTCTTCAAGATACTGTAAAAGAAATGGCAAAGGAGATTCAGAATTCGCAAAGTGGAGAAATGAAGAAGACAGCTGAAGATCTTGATGAATTTATGAACAAAGTCAGCTGTGTTTTCCATGATATAGTTGGTTTATGTTATATACATCCCCTTATATGTGCAACACTGATATCATTATGTCTGTATTTATTATGTTTTTAAAATAGGTTAGAACAGGTGCCCGAGTTTCTAATGATGAAATCTTAGGATTTGCCAAATTATTTAATGATGAGCTCACCCTGGATAACATTAGCAGGTTGGTGCTTCTACCATTGTTTATGTTCAACAAGTTGTGTTCTCCAGTTATTGCTCTCATACATTGGGATTCTGCTATTGTTATAACATACTTTTTGGTTGTGAAAATGGAGGGCAGGCCTCGCTTGGTAAATATGTGTAAATATATGGGCATCAGCCCATATGGAACTGATGCATATTTGCGTTACATGCTCCGCAAAAGATTACATGAGTAAGATTAATCATTTATTCATTTTTCCCTTCTGATGTTATGTATTCATAGTTCATTGGCTATTCTATGTTAATTTTCATTTTATGCCCTATGGTAAAAAAATTCTTTGTACCTGGTTGATTAGATAAGAATTTTTGCAATTTGGTAGATTTCTTATATTTGTTACCAATGTCTGGATGTCTGCCTAGTCACTGATTCCTTTTTTAGTCAGAGTGCATAATCCAAAAGTAGGAAACAGAAGACAACCTGAGGTTTTAAACTTATGTTAGTTTTTTTAAGGGACCAAAAGTAGTACATTATTTCATAATGTTGTCCCTTTCTTCCATCATCGGGGAGTATTTGGTTAGAGATGAATGAACAGCACTATGGAAATTCAAATGTTACTTTAGTGGGAGAAAGTAGTACATTACTCTTATTGTCGTTCAAAGAAATTAGATGTCTATATGGTCCTTTAGTATCTTAAACTTTTTTAGAGTATTATTAGTACATATTACATTGGAATGTCTGTTTTCATTGAAAAGTTCGAGAATTGATTTTCTAACTTGAAAAAAAAGGCCTTAATATATTAATGTAATTGATGTGAGCCAAACAATTTATTTTAGTGCATCCCTTTTATGATCCCTCTCTCTCTTAAATGGTCAATTCTAATTTCACAGAAACTCTATATTCCAGTTAATTTTATTTTTTACTGGTATCCCTTGTTCCTTGTTATACATCTCCTTTCTTCTTATAAGCTTCCTCTTGGTCTTTCCTTCTTGTTGATGCATGTCTGTGTGTCACACTTGATGACATCTTGTGTCCCAGTAAGTCGTGGATAGGTGGTTAGTAAGACAGCCAGATGAGGAGGTGATAGGCCCACATAGGGGAGAAAGGTGAGTCCAGGTTCACGGCTGCTCATCAAAGATGGAAAGAGGCACAAAACCCTCCTCAGCAGCACTCAACAATTGACCACTGAGAAGAAATGGATGTCAGTTTTGTGTAGAATAGATTTTTTTTTTTTTTTTGGGAAATGAGATGTGAGTCTATATTCTCAACCATGAAAGAGAACAACATTAAGAGATATGGAAAGCTGGAAAATAGAATTTATGAGTGGAATACATCAGCCTTATATTCATTAGGGCCTTTGTGCATAAGTATTTATGCTAATGAATGATGGTCAATAACATGTATCATACAACTAGTACGTGCTGTACCATATGATGTTCAAAACATGCTAACATTATTACTCTCAATAAAATACAATAAGAAAAACAATAGCCCCTGCCTCTTCAAATGACGAAAAGAAAAGGGAAAAAGAGAAATTCTGCTTAGCATTCCACATCATGCTTGAAGATTTATGCGTTTTCAAAAATACAGTATTCATTTAACTAAATTTACCATATTCAGTCATTAACCTTGTTAATGTTTTGAGGATCAATAGGTATAAGTTGTTTGCCTTTTGCAGGATCAAGAATGATGATAAACTGATTCAACTTGAGGGTGTTGAATCTCTTTCAGAAGCAGAGCTTCGTCAAGCTTGTAGGGATCGAGGATTACTTGGATTGCTTTCAGTGGAAGAAATGCGGCAGCAGGTTAATCATAAATGTTTCAGTGAAATTGTGGCCTTCCTTGATAAATTTGTGTTAACTTACAACTTTGGCAATTTTTCTGAACAAGGCACTGGTCATAATTCATATTTTCAGAAGTCAAAATCATTATATTTTCATAGTTGCTATTTTTATCTTCTAATAATTGCTGCTTTAGAACAACCATAACAACCGAGCCTTTTTCCCGCTACCCACAATGGGAATCAAAGACTGCCATGTCATAAATAAGTCATTGACCTCTAAATCCTTTGAAATGGTTTTGCCAACAGTTATCAGTTCTCTCTAGCTATAGCGTTCCCCTCCTTCTGATCTGCTCTGCTCTCCACACATGTCTAACACTCAAACAAATCTCAAGACTCTTGAATGCTATTATGGTGTGGGATGTATAACAAAAATAATGTTAAATAACAAGGGTCGTTGGTGTAGCTCTTAAATCCAAAATGAATGGAAAAAGCTACCACCAATGTTTATTGAGAAACGAAATGTATTAGGGTAGTTCATAAGATCTAATGTCTCCAAATTGATAGTCATTGCATATATAGTTGGAACCTGAAAGACATTTCTTAATCCTGAACAGAAGTGGCCTTGATTTAGTTGTATGGTTGAAACAAATCTTATTTCTGGGAGATGAAATGTTATATTTTTTGCAGCTTAGGGACTGGCTGGATTTGTCTCTCAACCATTCTGTGCCATCCTCACTCTTAATTCTTTCTAGGTATCCTAGTATTTTCTCTGTTTAAATATTATCTTTTCAAGGACTTTCTTGGAAGTTGTGATTATCTCATTCTCTCTGTAGAGCATTTTCTGTATCAGGAAAGGTCAGACCAGAGGAAGCTGTTCAAGCTACACTCTCTTCTTTGCCAGATGAGGTTGTAGATACTGTTGGGGTAACAACTTTGCCATCTGAAGATTCCGTTTCAGAAAAGAAGAGGAAGTTAGAATATCTTGAAATGCAAGAGGAGCTAATCAAGGTTGACTTTTTTGCATGTTGGATTTTGTTATTAGGGATATATATTTTTCTGGGAGGGAGCAATGGGGTTGTTGATTTAGCCTCAATTTCAAAGTAGCCATGTTAAAAGCTATGCTTCATTTATACCTATAATTTTACGTTAAAAGCTTTGCTTCATTTCATTGTAGTTTTGTGAAGTCTTCTCGTGAGAAAGAGATAAAGAAAGAGAGGGATAAAGATAAATTTATTGTGAAAATCTGCCTTAGTCATCTTTAGAAAAGTGTATTTTTGTGTTGAGTGTTTCCTTTTTCATTGGATTTTTTGGAGCACATAGTAATCTATCATCTAATAGAAAGCTTCAATGATTGTCATCCAATTAACTGCCATAAATACTGATTTTCTTGTTGAAGTTGCTTGGCTATTGTTATACTTGTTGCTTTCATTTGAGATTGATGGGTGCAAAATATTTAATAGGAGGAGGAAAAGAAAGAGGAAGCAGACCAGGCCAAAATGGTTGAATCTGTTAGTAGTGAAGGGGATTTGGCTATGAAGGAGAGGGCTGCAACAACAAAACAAACACAAGGAGAGGTAAAAACAATGACATTGGATAAACAGGAGCACCTCTGGGAGCTCAGCCGCGCATTAGCTGTTTTAGCATCAGCATCTGTAAGGATTGAAAGTAAATTATTTTAATTTTTGCCAGACTAAGTTTGTATGCACTGATGAATTGTTGGACTCATTCATTTGTCTGATAATTTTTCAGTCAGTGAGCAGAGAACGTGAAGAGTTTTTGAGACTTGTTAGAAAGGAGGTATATAGATTTTAAAATTGATATTATATATATATATATATATATATATATATATTTGTGAGTGAGTTTTGCTTAGTGAATATTTTTCAGGCATTCAAAGGCAATTGAAATTGCAAATTCTTTTGAATTTAGTTTAATATGCTTCTACATTCACATTATTTAGCATTGCGTTGTAAAAATAATTTGCTGAATAAAATAAATGCATTTTTGTCAAAAACTTAGAATTTAAAATGTCACTTTTTTCCCAATAAAAAAAAATCAGTTGTCAAAATTCATTTCTTCTTGTTGTCATTATCATTGTTGAAAGTCCCACATCGCCTACCTCATATCATTTGGTATGGTTTAAATACATGTTAAGCTACTCCACATATTGCCAATTGGTTTTATGTTGGAACCTTAACATGGTATCAAAGTCAAAGCCTAACATCTTTCCGGTTATTGTCATGGGCAAAAAGTTGCCCTTTAGTTGGGTCAAAAGTACCATTTGCCTGGTCCGGCAGGCTTCGTTGGAGGGGGTGTGTTGAAAGTCCCACATCGCCTACCTCATATCATTTGGTATGGTTTAAATACATGTTAGGCTACTCCACATATTGCCAATTGGTTTTATGTTGGAACCTTAACAATCATCATTGTTGTTGTTTGATAAAATATTTTCAAAATGTTTTCTCTAGCTTTGTAGAGAAAAAGAGGGAGGCTTCGCTGAACTTGTTAGTCTCTAATCTGACTGATTCACCTTGTATCTGTTTTTGTACACTTAAGGTAGAGTTATGGGCTTATAAGAGGATTAGGTTAAGCCTGGCCCACAGGCTGTTAACACTCATTTTCTTAGGGCTTTTAGAAAATATTTGCCTTCTCTCGAATAATTATAAAAAAGACAATTGGTTTCTTGTTTGCAAATATTTGAAGAGGAAATGGTGAACAACATTTTGGTGAAAAAAAGAATTGAACCAAAACGTTTCTTAAACCAACTAGCTATTAATCATGTCCAGGTTCTTTTGCATACAAACTCAACAATACTAACCTACCACTGTACAGATGGACCTTTATGATAGTATGGTAGGGAAAGAAGGTACAGATGATGAACAGGCAGCTAAGAAGGCCTATAAAGCTGCAAGGAAGGAAAGTGATGGTGCTATTGAGGCAGCTATTAGTGATAAGGTTTCTTCAGCACTTGTTGACAGGGTAACTCTATGGCCTAGTTTCTTTAGATGCCACTTTATAATTGAAAAACAAAAGAACAAGGCAGATCATCTGTTAATCATTAGCTGAATTATATTCTGAAACTGGAAATAGTTGACAACAACGGGAGTTTTATGTGCTTCTCAGGTTGATACTATGCTCCAGACACTTGAAAAAGAAATTGATGATGTTGATGCTAAAATTGGGGACCGGTGGCGATTGCTAGACAGGTTTTTTCTACACTTTGGGATGGTTATTTGCTTCTATTTTCTTTATGCCAATTATTAAATATTGAAATATGGTATTTTCTAATGAATGGCAACTAGCCAGGCTTAATTGTAGAATTTATAAAGAATACCATGGCAAGGGAAGCGGGAACTTTTTCATTGTTATATGGGAGAGCCTATCATCCAAAATATTTCTATTGTTTTTTAGTAATGGCCTGTTCTGAGGAAAATTAGGAACTGACTCACAGCTATGATTGCTATTAGTTACTGTAAATACTTATCAATCAATAATTGGCATGGAGTAGATAACAGTTATATCAGTTAAAGATTTATTTGCTATTAGGATATCTATTGGGGTGACAGTAGGACTAAAACCGAACGTCCCTGTTCAGCTGTTTTATTAGTTCTCTCTTAGATAAAAAATAGGCTAGGATCAAACAATCTCAACACCTAGATGATATCTCAATTCTTGGAAGATAATATTCTGAATTTGCTCTGCAAGCAGATTTTGACCCATCTACACAGTAATATCCAATAATCACTGTACTTAATCCTCAATAAACCATGTAAAACGTTACTTGTATCATAATGACATCATAATTAAGAATTTCTAGGCTTAAAGGCTTGCTCTAGAGCTGCAGTTGTTCAGCGACATTGGTTATGAAAAAATTACAAAAGCATCTAATCCGAAATCCAATTGTGGAGATTAGAGTTTCAACATTAAGATGTTAGTAATGAAAACCCTTTGTGCCTCGTTCCTACTCCTAGAACGAACCAAGTAAAATGTTAATTGTATCATAGTGGCATCATAATTAAGAATTGCTAGGCTAATAAAGGCTTTTTCTCTAGAGCAGCAGTAGTCCAGCGACATTGGTTATTTTGGGATGAAAAAATTACAAAAGCATATGATCTGAAATCCATTTGTGGGGATTAGAAGAGTTTCAACATTTAAGATGTTAGCAATGAAAAACCCTCTGTGCCTGTCCTCCTCCTAGAAAGAATTCGTCCCAAGTATTTAATTCATTTGTATTTTTAGTAAGCACATATACACGGATAAAGTTTGTTTCTTTTCCCTTATAAACCTTTAAGATTAATTGTTGAAAATATATGTCATTTAAATGTTTAGCCATGTTTTGGCAGGGATTATGACGGCAAAGTAACACCCGAGGAGGTTGTATCTGCTGCTATGTATCTGAAGGACACTCTGGGCAAAGAAGGAATTCATGAACTTATCAGCAACCTTTCCAAAGATAGCGGTCAGTTCAATTGTCATTTTTCCTTCTCTTTCTCATACTGTCTCTATAGATATCAGGAATGAATGTCACACTAGTGCCCTCTCTGGTTAATTCAACTAAAATTTTCTAATGAAAAAGCACAAAACATCACCTAATACAATTTATACTTTCCTCTTCATCTTCTTTATTTCCTATTTTTTGCTTCCTTGAAATCATTTTTAGATCCACTTGACAGCTCCCGAGAACACCCTAATTTTATGCGTAACAAGCTTATATTTGTAATAAAAATAAATAAATAAGCTATGTGCAACATGTAGTTCATTAGTACAGGTAATATAGTTATCTACATTTAATAATAACAACAATGATTGAATAGCTATTATCCACAGCTTCATTAGTTAGTTTCCGAATTCATGTTGGGACTTAAATTAAAAATTCCTCGATAACAGGTGTCTTTCTCTAAACAAAATGAAAGTCCATCACCTCCACCATGATTGTTTGAACTGGACCTTGTGCACCTCTTACTTGTGACGTAGTTCTCTAAAATTTATATAGAATTTCATTGCTCAATACTTTGTTGATTGCTTATCTGTGGTAATACTTAGAGGGTTGCATATTGTATAGATACCCATGATTTAAATTTGAAAATTGGTTCAGCTGCTAGATTTACTGCTACTGTTTTTTTGCAATCTCTCATACGTAACAGATGGGAAAATATTGGTGGAAGACATTGTCAAATTGGGCACCAAGAAAGAAGATGCCGTTACAGACGAAGTAGGAAGATCGTAGTGTTTTATTGATGCTAAGTTAAAGGTTCTAGTCGTCAACATCATTTTACCTGTAAAATAATGTGTATGTTTCCTTTGAAATGTGTAAAGAACGATGGTTGTTTTTTTGTAACGAATAATGCTCTCATAGAGTCCCACCCTGCCCCAAAAAAGTAAAACAGGGTACGGATCTTACATTCTTATTCAATAAGGTTAATACCCAGCACAGAGAAATTAAAACCATCAATAAGGAGAGTTGCACGACATAAATGGTCTATTACTAATAAATATTTTTTGGAGAAAAAAAAATCACAAATTAAAATTAATTTATATACATGCTAAAAAAAAGAATTAAAAAATGTGATAATTTATAAAAATTAATTTCTACTCTATGAAAAAAAAAATTACTTTATTAACATGTTTACTCAAACAGATTCAAAATATATTTGCCTTCTGGGCGGTCTGAATGTATGATATTATTGATTGAAGGTTGTGGTAGGAATAAAGAAGGAAATAGTACCGGCGAAAGATAAATACGTGGAAAATGATTGGAAATGAAATTGATTCGGTTAAAAAAATATGATTTCATTTAATAAGAAAAAGAGTAAAAATATATTATTTTAAAATGCTTAATTTAGTTTTAGTCAATTAATTTAGAGATGAATATAGGTTTAGATAAAGATAGACTGGAGTATTTTTCTTTATATATTTGCAACTTGGAGAGGATGGCATATTTGCATCATAGAAGAGTTTCACTTAACTTTATTTAATTTTAGTGTTATTTACTTATAATTTTTTTTAGAGTGTTAGAAATAAAGAAGTGTCTAGCTCGATTTCACATAATCAACCTATTAGATAAAGTTTGCATCAGGTCAATATAGGTTGAAACATGTTACTTAATGTTGGGTTGTGTTCGATTTTTTTTTTTCATTTTTATCAATAATAGATTAAAATTAAACCTAATATACTTAATTCACGGGTTCGAGTCGGTATATAGTGGATTAATTTGTATTTTATCAATTATTTTAAATTTTAAAATAAAATTATAATAATTTAATAATCTTAGTTGATGTTATCATGTTTCTTTATCTTTACTTCATGCTCCATTATAAGTCAAATCCTCACTAAAGTTTATCATTAATTGTTTGTCATACCATTGTGTCACCGTGTTTGTTCAATTTGTGGCGTTATCACGTTTCAGTTGTATCACAACATTTATCACATTTCAGTCATGTGTTTCAATTACGTCACAACTCAATTTCGCATTTCAGTCACACCATAAACTTTTGTCGAGCCACCATGTTTATCGCACCATTACATTCATCGCATCACCACTCTATCGTGCATCAATTATAATATAGTATTTGTCATATTACTACATCGTTACATTTCAATTCCACGATTTAGTCTACTTATAAAAAAATTGTAAAAACAATAAATAAATATGGGTTAATGAGTTAATCCACCTAACCCACCAACTCATAGTAGGTTGAGTCAGGTTGTGAATTTTTTTATTTATCATAAAGTAAGTCAAATTGAACTCACTTGTTTCAATTTAGCTTGTGGTGAACCAACCCATGTGAGTCCACGAGTTGACTCATTTTGATACTCTTAGCTTGCACCTTAATTATATACTATAAGTTGGTTAAATCTCTAGTTAATATAGGATATCTCTCATGTCTAATAATGAATATCTTGATAATATGAAATTGATCGTGATATCTAATAGTAAATAAAGTAATAAGTAAATAAATATTGTTAAAGTATATATGATACCTTATTAAAAATTAGGAAAAATATTCAACTTAATCCTATGACTGAATATTAAGGATGGTCTAATAGCTAAATCAATCTTGTAATTAGTTTGATAAGTTTTACTTGTTAAATTATATTTTATAAGTGGATCAAATTTCTCTCTATATATTATATATTATAAGTGGATCAAATTTCTCTAGTGATATTTAAAAATTAGTAAGTCTTAAATCAATATTATCATGAATTTAGGGTATTTTTTTTTAAATATAATTGAGATTTTATTTTATCAAATTTTAATATTTATTTTTAAATAGATAATAAGAAAGGAAAATATTTGATTATAAAAATTCATTTTTAATATTTAACTCATTATTCTTAAAATACTGAAAACAACTCACTTCAATTTTACAGATTTTGAATGATTTATCACTTAAATTTTATAGGTTTTAATGATTTATTTTAAGTTATTTACTCGTAAAATTGAGGGAGAAATAATTTCTTCCCAATTTTAGAGTTTTTTTTATATGGAGAAATAAAACTAATTCACACCAAATTTGAGTGATTAAATAATTAAAATAAAAATATTTCATTGATTAAATAATTAAATTAAAAATCTTTCACATTATCAATCCTTATAGTATTTAAAAATCAATTTGATCTGATTTTTCATTAAAAATATTTTTTAAATCGACATCAATATATAATTTGGTTTCATTTTATTCGAAATAAATATAAAATTTGAATCAAATTAAACTACTATCCTATTCGGTTCCTCTCAGTTTTCATCGATCTTTGTTGTGGATAAAATTTTTGTTTTAAAATATTGAAAATTTTATACTAAAAGACTATCAAATGAGACATTTTTTTTATTGTTGTTATATTTAAATTTTTAACTTGATCTCTATATAATATATTCTTATATATTTACAAACTATAATTCCAAATTATTGTCATAAATATAAACACATTGTGATTATAATATGATGAAATAGTAAAACAATCTTTGAGTTATCTATCATTATTAGTTGTTAATTAAAATTAAATATAAAGATAAGCATAGTTCATATCCATTAAAATGGATTGGAATTAAAATATAATTTAATTTTATTAAATCAAATTGAAATACTTTTTTATTTACAATTTGAATTTAAATTAAATCAAATCTATGATAATTTAATTTAAATAAATTTATACTAAAATCAAGGTTAATATATCTTATAGATTTAAATTAATTTGTATTTGAATTAATTCAGTTACTATAATTTTCATTTAATAATTAAAATATTTTTCAAAATTAAATTGTTAATCTTGGAAGAGGGCATGATTATATACCATAACTAATAGCATAAAAGCACATGACTGTTTCATGATTGCAGTGGAAATTTTTTATGTGTTACTTTTTCTTAGTTTTTAGTTATTTTTTATAATTTGTTTTCTATTTCTTTATATTATTGTGACAATATGAGTACTTGTATATGATCTATTTGTTTGACCATTTACATTATTTGTTAAAATCTTATTATTTGTTAATATTAATTCTTACAAAATAAATAATAATTTATACGATTTTGATAATGTCTTGTGATTAATTTTATTTTATTTTTGCAAAATGATTACATGCTGCTTTGCATTATAATCAATTATGAACTTGATTATTGTTGACTTTATATTGTTATTTAAATTTAAATTAACAAATATTTTTTCCAATTTATAAATATCAAAATCATTTTATTTTGTCCTTTCCAATTTTCTTCATAAAATGTTTTAAACAATTAACAAGAACAACATTATATAAAAAATATATTTATCAACTCTCATCACTTCAATAATTTTTACTCATTTTTAAAAAAAAATTCTTTTTTTTTCACCTTACAACCAAAATGAGGTTAAGACTTTATATTTTACTTTCCATGAAATTATAACGTTCCTTAAATATTTTGTATAAGATCTTTTGTAATTTATTTAAAATTTAAATATAATAAAATTATTTTTTATTTAAAATATTTGTTTAAACAAAGTATTTTAAATATATTAAAATTTAATTTTATCATTTGGATAAATTATTTCAAAAAATTATTAAAATTATTATTATTCAGGTCAAACTTTTAATATTTTACCTTTATTCACGTAAGTAAAGTTTAACTGAAATAGATCAGGTTTCGACTAAAGTAAGATAATGACATGCAAAATTGTTAAAGATCGAACTTTTAATATTTTACTTTTATTAACATGAGTAAAGTTTGACTGAAATAGATTATATTAGACTATATTTACTAAAATAAAATAATAACATACAAAATTGTTAAAGTCTGACTTAATCAAAATAACTTATTATAGGTTAAGAAGGTTTGGTCAAATCATAATGATCTGACAAATTATTATGAATTACTGTGTTGGAATAAGTTATGACAAAGAAATCATTGTGTTGAGTTTAAATGGGTTATGTTTGACCATAACTGAATAAGATAGATTAATATTAGATAGGTTAGGTCGGGTTGAGACAATATGTATTTAAATTATGAGGAGTTAAATCAGGATGAATCAAGTCAAACTAAAATAAGTCAAGTTAAAATAAGTTTGATAGAGATAAGTCAAACCTACTTTGGCTTAGTTAGTTAAACTTAATTAGAAAATGGTAAAATCATGTTATGATAAGTTAGGACGAAATAAGTTAGACTATATCAATATCAATTGGGTCAAAACTAATATATGATGAACTATATTAAGAATGATATAGGAATGATAGTTTAATAATGATCATAATATGTGTTAATTCGAATTAAGTTAAAATAAGTAACATTATGTTATAATTTAGGTCGAGTTAGATCAACCTATATTAAAATAAGTTAAGATGAATGTAAAATATTTAAATTAAAGAGAAAATATAAAAAGAAGAAACATAAATTTAATAAAGAAAAAAATGGAGAATTTCAAATTCTTAAATAAAAATGGAAAAAATGAAGAATTTCTAAGATTTCATTTTTATTTTTCAAATTCTTGACTTCATTAATCAATTTTATTATTAATTATTTCCGATATTCTATCAAAATGAATTATCTTTTATAATTTTTGTATCTAAACAAAAAGTAAATCAATTGAAAAAAAAATCTCATTAATTTGTGAATATGTTATAATATATCTACTAATAATCTTTATTATTAATGAAATTACTAATTAGGATAAATTGGTTCGGTATATTTTTTAGTTACTGTAGACTTCCGATTTTTAAATTTACAAGAGCCTAAATTACACCATAATTCTTCTAATCATCTATATAACATCATATTTTGTACATAGACAAAAACGAGTTTACTTGAAAAAAAAAACAGTGCAAAAATACAAAAAAAAAAATTCAAAGTATGATAAAATTTAACAAATAAGGGCACTTAATAGCAATATTGAAATCTATGCTAATAATGTTTATAGGATTTTACAAAATGGAAAAGAACAAAATTTTATAAAACAATAGTATTAAAAAATAGAATTATAAAAAAGTTAAGTTTAAAACATATAAAGAGATAATGAAAAATAAAATTTTTAATATATATATATATATATATATATAATTTGTTCAAAATTAAATAACAAGTTGATATTACGAAGTTGAATTAAATTTTAAATTTACTATCAAAATTTATTTTGCTAGATTTAATAGATCGTCGCCATCAAATTACTGTTAAACCATAGATGGATATTTAATCTCACTAAAGGTCTCATTTCGTATTATTTTATAATATAATATAAAGGAAAATAAAATCACAATTAATAAGTTATTTATTTTATGATTAAGAACGTATCATGCTGCTTGTTTTCAAATAATAACATCTTTAATACACAGTGAATATAGCATTATGAATATGTTTTGTTCATTCTTAAATAAATAATAATAATAATAATAAATATTATTATTATTTTTTAAAATCGTTTACGTATATATCACTCAAACATAGAAATCATAGAAAAAATATATTTTTTTTTATCATGAACATATTATTTTCATTTCGTTTTCTTTTTTATTACTTTTTATCTTTTTCTTTTATACCACGCTTAAAAAGGTGAAATCACGACAATGTCACCATAGTTATCCTTTTTAGATTTTCGAATGCAAACCTATAATTTAAAAAATACAAGTGAGTCTTCAGAATAATTTTATATTATTTTCAAGGGCCTTCTCAAACCTATCTATTGTTGGTATAGGATAAATACATGAAAGAGGAAGGAAAACTATTTTTTTATCTACCTTTTTTTTATATAAAACACTATTTGGTGATTTTTAATAACAAAGAAAATAGTCGCAAATAAATGTTAAGTATATAACAAACAGAAATACACAGATATACTTTAAATATTTAAAAATAAATATAAATATAAATAAATTCCACTTTTTTTTCACTTTACTTGGGAACATTGCTAAAACAAGTAAACAACAACCACTTGTGTAATATAAAAGGAAACTGCAAAAGAAAAAAACATTAACCAATTGTAAGAAGCTTGTACATTTGTCTTGGCCTCGTTTTCGACCAATCACAAAGCAACACGACAACATCTAAAATACTAAATAGGATGTTAGTTTGAGCATATATTATATTATGACAATACCATACCATACATTTATATTTATTTTCATTTTATTTCTAAAATTAAACCCAAACACAAACCAAACCAAATCTGACTTTGGAAATCGCTCTCTTTCTCTGTTCAAATTTCAATTGCTATTTCAAAATTAGAATTACCACCAAATCTCTCTTGTTCTTAAATTTTTCTCAATTGTCACGTTTCTTTTCTTCTCACACTGCTGTTAGGGTTTTTTGTTTTTTTCCACTTCACGAAACCATGCTCAGTGATGATTCTGTCTTACTCTGCGTTTTCTGGATCGAACAACGACGTTCTGGGGAGGTTTAGTTTGTTTCACAGCGCGAATTGCTTTTCCCACGTGGTTTTGGAGGAGTTCTGTCGGTTTTGTTGACCGAATAGGTGCAATTAGGGTTTCTCGAATTCGGTTCTGGATTTGGTTTTGTGGGGTTAGTGATGGGGTTTTAGGTTTGAGGGCGGTCGTGTGCTTGTTTTGGAGTGGGGAATTTGCGAGGGGAAGAACAGGGATGTTTTATTCTCAGTTTATTTTGGCCAAGAAAGGGCCACTTGGGACTATATGGATAGCTGCACACTTGGAGAGGAAGCTCCGGAAGAATCAGGTGGCTGATACTGACATTGGTGTATCCGTAGGTACGTTTGTTTTGTTTCGTGCTTTTTGATTTGAGATTTTAGGTGGTTTGTTTTGTTTCATGTTTTTTGATTTGGGATTTTAGGTGCGTTTGTTTTGTTTCGAGCTTTTTGATTCGGGATTTTAATGCGCGAATAGTTGTGTTACGTTAGTTAGTAGTGTGGTTGCCATTGTTGTGTGTTGTTAGTTAATGGTGTAATTTATTATTGCAATTAATGTTTTGGAAGGCTTTGTTTTAACGAGGATGATGTTAACGATTTTTTGTTGTTTCCATATCAAATTACCTTGTCGGGTTAATTTAAATTGTTGTGGTTTTAGTTTTGTGCATAGTTATTTATTAGTTACAGTTTAGAAAATTGTGCAGCTATTATCTGTCTTCAATCTGAAATTTTGTCTCCCTTATCTGTGAAAACTGAAAGACCTACTAGTAGGGTGGCACAAATTTCGAGTTTTGCCAGGTCTGTTTAACAACAGGCCAAGTAAAACAAGAGTTACTTCTTAAACCTGTAATTATGTTTGGGGTAACAGATAAGGACATTAGAGGGATTTGCGTACTGTGGAGTGGTAAGGAGGGTAGGTGTTTCCAAAGTGCGTTCTGTGTAGTTGTTAGTCTAAGTGGTTGAAACATTTTCTGAATATTTACTTTTTGTATGTCACTAGTTGTTGGAATTTTTCTTTTTTTGTCATCCCTGTGGTGCTTTACTCAGTAATTTTTGTGGGTGATATGTTTATTTGCAGAAAAACTAGCAGGCTCTTTTGTTTGATATATATATATATATATATATATATATATATATATATATATATATATATATATATATATATATATATATATATATATATATATATATATATATATACACACATATATTCAAGCTTTCTTTAGGGAAAAAATACGTAAGGACATGGAGCATGTTTTATTTACCTAGAGATTCTAAATATTACATTCTCTTTGTTGTAGAGGAATGGAAAACAACAGTGGTTCTGAGACTAAATTAGATTGATGAATGGAATGGCAGAATATAGAACAAAGCTAAGGATGGGTTAGAATTAGAAACTTTGCAATGTGAATGTTTCCAATGGTAGGTTAATAGATTATGCCTAAGGGACCTTGGATGCTTTTGGATAAACAACTTAATTAAGTGCCTGTTCAATAAGATCTTACCACACAAGGTCTTATGCCATATATTTGACCATGAAACTGATTGGAATAAGTTAAAAAGAGCTCTTGAGAGTCATAAATAAGTTATTTTTATAAGCTCAAATAAGCTCCCGATAAGCTCTTACCAAAGGCATCTTTATGTACTACAAATTAGAAAACACTACAAAACGCCTAGTAAATGGTGAATGACTATAAAGAACGCTCTCAGAAGAGGGTTACTTGATTTACTGACAAAGGAGCATAAACAATGTGGAGAACTTTTTGCAGGACTGTGCTGAGAACATACTGGTCCTGTTAGGCTAGCATGAGTTCATTAGATTTATGCATTTGGTTTTAATTGTTGGATTAAGCGTGTCAATGATTCTTATGGTTTGTTTTTCTTCTATCCTTATTTCCATGCTCTGAACACTCTGAGATATAACATTATTTGTGGAATTGGGAAATAAATTGGGGGAATTTTTGGAAGAAGACTTAGCTAGGTAGTTTGATTTATGCCTCGTGGTTATTATTACTCATCTAAAATCAACGATGGTGCATCTTCCACTGGAAATTTGCTTTGATGATGGTCAAAAAAGTGTTTTTTATCCCTACACTTTTGGTCAAATGTGGTTGTGAGTAGTGTATCTTTCTGTTAGGTATTAAGACTTTAGTTGTTTTGGTTTTATAATAGTTGTACCCATCTCTTTATCTTATATACAGAGACTCTTGAAATTTTGTGAAGATTGTGAATAGATGTCTTCTTTCATTATTATTCCCTCTCTCTTAAGAACAGTAATATGGTATCAAGAGCCTAAAGATTCATTATGGCTGAAATTCCTCCTCCTCCTTCCCCTTCATCCGCTGTCTTTGTGAAGATTTCAGTAAAATTAGATGATTCTAATTTTTTGCTTCATTCATTTGATGATCAAATTTTAAACAGCATATGGATTTGTTCCTTATTTTGGACCTTTTTATTTCCTTAAGTAATAAAGTAGGGGATAAATCCACATTTTTATAGTATGAGCACCAAATTCATTGATATGGAAGTACAAGAACCTTGGACATGCTTGACCAAAATATAAGGATTAAAGATAGATTTTCCCTTATTGCAACTACTTTCAACATAATGTATTGATATGTTCATAAACCCTTAACCACTAACCCCTATTTTTACTAATCATAATTCTAAATAATAAGTTAAATAAAATATTATAAGAAATAAGATAATAGATCCCAAGATATACTTAAGAAATAGAGAAACTAAACTTGGAGGCTAATTTAAGGTATTCTCTCAAAGAGGGTTACACTAGTGATATTGCTTAGTTATTGGCGGAAATGAGAATTATTCGAAAGGGAATTGAGGCATAACTGTTAGGTGAGGTTTGCACTCTACTTATATATTATATTTGCTATATCTCTGGTCAATGTGAGATTTTTAGCACATCTCCTCACACTAATGAATGGACATTCCAAGCGATCTATTAGATATATGTGGGTGGTTTGATAGTGGATGAAACAATATCTAGCAAACATTGTGTGGATAAACTTTGATATCATGTTAGAAAGTGGATTTGAACTTAATCTTACAAAAGCGGCTTGTAAGTTGAGCATTGCACCCTACATATATATTATAATTTAGGCATATCTTTAGTCAATGTGAGATTTCCAACAAGAATAAGGAAAATAGATCATTGGATATTTGAATGGCAAGATATAGTGTATGCAACTTGTTTAAATGGTAATGTAATGACTATCTTTTAATCTTGACCATCCATGTATGATTGTATATTCAAGATTTATAGTTCTCTCATTCTTAAAATAAGAACTGTTCTCATTTTATACTAGATAGACAGATAGCTAAAGGTACAAAATGACATGTGAAAATCTCATTAAGCTAGGCTTAAAAGAGAAATGAAGTACAAACAGGCAAACATGTACAACAATTCAGCTATCCAATCCATTTGCAAATCTGCTACAGACACCCCTGAAACAGACCATAATCCCAGCTCAAAGGAGAAGCAGAAAAGACCACTGTGTTGCAGAACATATTTGTTTGTGGTCCAAAGGGATTTCTTAATATACAGGCGTTTCTTTCAAGGAAAATACTCCAAAGAACAGAGCAGATTGCTCAGTAGCACACTTTCTTCCCCACTGTCAAAATGCAATTCCTGAAGTTGATTGCAAGAAGTACGAAGTTGATTATGAAAGGATCCAGCTGTCTGGAAATCCTTAAAATATAATATTCCAGATGCATCTATCTGTAGGGCTGTGTAAAACAAATGATAGCAACTGTTTCTGAACTAGATCCTTTTGTGGCCCTCTTATTTTTTGGCATATTGTCAGTTTATTGATTGTGCTTCTCTTCTCGTCAACATCTCAATGAAATTATTCTTAGGCAATAATGATGATGATGGTAATGATAATAAGAATAACAAAGGAAAATATATCAGCCTTGTTAAGAGAAGAGTTAACTTTGGTTGTGATAATTGTTCTCTTCTCAGTAGATATACTTAATGAGTTTTTTTGAGATTGTAAATTATGTGAGAAGTATTGGTTATATAGCTACATATGTGCAATGAGTGAGGACTATCCTTTACTTACATTGAATCAGTTTGATTGCTTTAATTTTGTAAGAAGATAGATGGAGATAGAAATTAATACCGCTCTGTCCATTGTACATGGATATGCTACATTTGGTGTTGTCTAATTTTGATCATATTTTGTCATTTCATATTATTTATTTGGTCAATTTTATGAATGAACAGATTCCATTCTTTTTCCTGAAGTACCAATTGCACTCCGTTTATCCAGCCATCTTCTACTTGGTGTGGTAAGGATATATTCTAGGAAGGTGAATTACCTTTTTGATGACTGCAGTGAAGCCTTGCTGAAGATTAAGCAAGCTTTTCGCTCCACAGCAGTTGATTTGCCACCTGAAGAGTCCACTGCACCTTACCATTCCATCACCTTACCTGAGACTTTTGATCTAGATGATTTTGAACTGCCAGATAGTGACATTCTTCAAGGGTTGGTTCTTAAATACTTGATTATATCTCCATTTGTAGCTTTAGCTATTATTTACTGCAGTGGGATTTTAACTTGAGTTGGTTTTAATCTAATTTAATCTGTTTCATTCATTTGAAACCATTTTCCAGTGATTTTATCTAATGTTATGTGTCCGATTTTTCCTTGATATTTTCATATGACTGATACAAATTTAATAATAATGCCAGATTTTTAAGATGCTGATATTTATTTGGCTATGCATTTACAGAATTGCTCTATATTCTAAATGGTGGTTTTATGTTAGATGGTTCATGAGGAAGATAGGTATATTGGTTTATTAATGGAGGAATATATATGTTGTGAATTTGCAGTAACTATGTCGATCACCATGTCAGTACTAGGGAGCAGATTACACTGCAAGATACTATGGAGGGTGTGGTTTACACTACTTCACAGTTTGGCTTGGATGGTTAGTCTACCTTTTTGTGTCTTGTTGCTCTTTGTACTGCCATGTTGTTAGTAAATTTTAAATATGCTATGAAGATATTTGTGTCAAGTAATTTTAATGGTAAACACAACTCGCAGAGCGCTTTGGTGACGGTGATGCTTCTCAAATTGGGCTAGACCTTGATGAGGTAATTTGTTTCCTTATTCCAGGTTTCCACAGCATCCTATGCATGGAGTTGATTGATGAAATGTGATCTATGTGGTTTTAAGGTCCCAACATAATGATTTGAGTATTATGGTTTGTTGTCTGGTTATAACTTGGAAGCATAGATGTGCTGTACTGGTGGTAATATACTACTGAAGTAAAATATGTCTCTGAAATGTACAGGCCTGGTATGCCTGATATAAATCTGATGCTTTTCATTTCCATCATTACATTCCTAGATCTGTGTTGTACATTTATCTGTCACCAAAAGGAATGCTCTGCTATTGTCTACCATCTTTATGATAGGTATGAACCTTTGGTTGTTCTTGGAGCACTGTTATGCTTGGTTTGATTTGAGGCATCTGTTAGCAAAGTATCTTAATGTGTACTGTTGTGGAAAATAATTTACTTTAAATTGCCTATGCAGAATATAAATGCATTTTCCTTATTTTACTTTAAAAGTATCTTAATGCATTTTAATTTGATTTGACAAAATCAGGTCTTGTTAAATGACAAAGCTACTACTTTGGAGCATGATGACTTTGGTGCAAGTCTTCAAATGGCTCATCAAAATGATGAAAAGAAAGAGGTTAGCAAAGCTTAAGATGAAAGACTGTGGAAGCAAGATTGACTTGATATTTAAGATATTTGCACGTCCATCCATCTTTGGTTTTATTCCTTGGTGTTTTCTTCATTTTTCTCTCCTTTTTGGAAAGGGGATGAAATGAAAGCAGTTCTATTTATTACAAATTGTAGTTTCTTCTGATTTTAGTTAGTGATCTGATTTGTTTTGAACAGATTGATGATTTACCCACCACTACCGGTGAAGTCCGTGAGTATGCTGAAGGTCCATCTACCCCCGGACTTGAAGAGCCTAACTTATTTGGAACTCAGATGGATCAGGGCAATAATGAAGTTGATTACCATAATTCTTCCGATTTAAAATCAATGGAGACTACACGAAATGAATTGTTGGGTCACCAAATGGATAATGAAGTAAATAATTGCTCCTTGCAAAGTAATGGGAATCATATTTCTTTAGATTTGCATCATGATGACAAAGGCTGCACTCAGGTTGAAATGGATAGCAAAAGAGAGGAGCATGAGCATTTAACAAGTGAGGTTGTAATCAAGGATCAAGAAAATTTGATACCTGAAGACCATTCCTTAGCATCATTAGGCTTGATGAATTCTTCCAATAAAGAGTACCCAGCCACCGTCTTACCAGGATGCGAAGGTGAGATGATCAATGCTTCTGATGTACCTGAGAAGGAGGAGGTCTTACAAGATGCAGTTTTGATGAGCAGTGACCCAGTTTCTGCTCCCTTGGACCAAACTGTTACAGATTGTGTTGTTTCTTCTCCTTTGATGAACAATGACAATGTTGGTTCTCTTGTTTGTTCTCGTGTTACTTCTGATCAAGAGAACATCTCATGTAAACCATTGTCTAACATGGATGGATCTCAGGGGCCAGGATCAGATAGTTATTTGGATGGTAACACAATATCAAAGCATGAAGTTCTTAAAGACGTTGAAATTTCTAAGAGTGAGAGACAATCTTGTCCGTCTGATGATGCCCTAGTTTCCAATGTTGTTAGTCCTCTAGCGTCATCTGGTAGACCGGAAGTTTTCGATGTGGATGCTCAGGCTTCTCAAGAACTGAAGGAAGCAAAGGCTTTAAATCATGTATCTAATGAAGCTGTGCAGCCCACTGAATCTATCCTTCAACCATGCACCTCCCATCTGGGCCAGCCTTCTCTCTCACTTTTCGAAGGTATTAATATAACATTAGTTGATATGATTTATATTATTTAATCAGGGTCTTAAATAGTGGACTATAGTCTTCTTATAGTGGTAGAAGTAGTGAAGTGGTTCCTGGCTACTGTGGTCACTGTAGCTGAGCAGTTCAGTGGAACACTAACACCTGTTGAGAGTGAAATATTAATTACATAACAGACTTTGCATAATATCTTGATTCCAAAAATATGTTATGGTGTTTTTGGTGGATGCTATTTTCTGCCTTTCAATTTTAAAAACAGTATTTTACTTATAAAATCAATCAAACAGTTTCTGTGTACAACATCTGATGCCCTCATTTCTCTCTAAGCCCATCACTGTGACTATCCTTCTATCCACAATAGTATCTTTTGGGCCAGCTGCCATGTGGTTCAATCCAGTATTCAAAACACTGAATTTCATAATCTTTTTTCTCTTTCTTCATTTACTCGGCTATAATGTAACAGCTGGAGTGGAATTGCTATACAAGAAGTTCTCTTGTCAGGATTGCAATAACATTGTGAGCTCATGATCTGGATCCCTGCTTCTGAGCTGGGTCATGAGTAAAACAATGAAGCGGTGGGATCAAAGTAAGGATGTAGTAGGATTGGTGCAAAATCGTGACATTAGATGCCCCACTATAGCATCTTTTGGGCTGGCTGGCATTTGTCGTTATTCAGTATTTAATACACTGAATGTAATTATTCATTTTTTCTCTTTCTTCATTTACTCAACCCCTTTTCTAATCCTTTTTTTTTGGGTAAGGTTACACAACCCATTATGTTACAAGTGATTCGTAACCAGTTTTTTGGTGCCCTATATTGATACTTTCTGCTTCTTCCCCATTTTCAGACCTAGACGAGCACTGCCTACCTTCTCTCTTAGTCTTAGTCTCCCTCTTTGATTCTCTCTATTACTTGGCCTCTCCTCATCTCTCAGTCTCAACTTGACCCTCTATTTGGTGACTGCTTGTGAATGTTTGCTGCTGTGTCTGTTATGTGTGTTCAGTATCTCTGTGTTTCATTCTTGACCTTCTCTGTCTACTGTGACTGTGACTGTGACTGAGTGCTCTGTTTTATACTCTTGTTTTTGACTTGGTTATGAAATGTAAAATTTAAGTTTGCTTTAATCCTGTGTATAATCTCAATCTTGGCAAGATGTCTGTTATTACAATGCAATTTTACATGTGTTTCTTTTGGATAAGAAAATAATTTATAAAGATAGAAAAGGAAGTTACAAAAATGGATGAGAAATCCTAAAGTACTGAAGATGACAAAAACAAAACTCAACAAAAAAAGGAACAGGTATTATCTTATAACATGCATCTGAAAGATCATGACATGGAAGCTAGAAAAATACTGGATCCCAAATTAACCCAATAGAAGATTGCTTTCGTGCTAAATTTCTAGCATTTTTTTCCTATTGCATACACCAAGGCATTGCTGCCCAAAAAGACCGGCATATATTTTTGGTATCTTGCCTATCACTAAATCCTCTGAACATGCCTATCTTCTGGATTCCTTGGGGCAAACCAACCAATTTTCAGCAAAAACAATGAACAAGTTATTCATAAGATGCTGGTGCACAATGCAAAAACAAATGAGAATAAGATTCAAAACTGATTTTGATATTGAACAATCATGTCACCATGGCATTGTACTGACTTTTACATTTCCTATTTTTCCCGTTTGATTTTTTTTTTCTTTCTGCGTGGCTAAGTAACATTATAGTATAGTACCCTTGTTTGGTCATTTGAGTGGATTTTGTTTTTTTGTTAAGTTACTCCATTTAATTGTATAATCTTGTTGACAGTTATTATCAAACATGCACACAATCCATTTTGTTGATAATCTGTTGCTTTTACTGTATACAGGTGAAAAAGGTCATGTAAATGATGTTTCAAATCATGCTTTAAGTTACCAAGAGACTATAGATCCATCTGTATCTAAAGGAACACCTGATTTGGGGAAAACAGATATGGAACTTGAGAATCAGATATTTAGCAATAAAGTAGAAAGTATAAATAAATCTACTGTTACTGACATGCCTGAGCCTGAAAAGTTGCTCTCTTTAGCTTACCAACATGGTGGTGAAGCAAATGATTTGCTGATGGCGTCTACTCCCAACAACCAGGGTGCAACTGAAGGCCATACAGGTGCTGCAGGAGTAAAGGGCCTCTCCGGTAAAAAACGTAGCTTCACAGAAAGTACTCTTACAGTGCAGAGTGTAGGTTTGATTGAGTCCTATGGGGCAGCTCAATCCAAGAGAAGTGCCGAGTCTGTTCCCGATGATGATGATCTATTGTCGTCCATATTAGGTATAAGTGGGGTTTGTTATTGCTTTTTGCTATATATTTAGTTATAGTGTGTACTTTCTATGAGAATGTGGTTGAGGCTGAAAATAATTTTTTGTTTGGGTCAGTTGGTAGAAAATCTTCAGTTTTAAAAATGAAACCCAGTCCTGCAGCCCCTGAAATGGCATCAATGAAGCGGGCTCGTTCTGCACCACGGGCAAGTGCCTTGAAGAGGAAGGTGCTTATGGATGATATGATGGTCTTGCATGGCGAGTATGTTTTTGCAATGTTTCATCCATTCATTTGTACATATCTATCCACTAAAGTTTATATTGATTAGAATAGAATGAAAAGCATAATATTCTTTGGCACTGATTTTTGTAATCTATTCTTCTCCCTTTTTACTATTTGTGATCATTGATCTTTTGCTCTTCTTTATCTATTAATTGCCAAGGCAACCCTGGCTGAGCAATTGATTTTTTTAGTATTAGAGATAACTAAATAACTAAAACCACTCACATTACAAATGGAAGAATAGAAAAATTTAGATCTGCTGAAATTTTTGTGTATCTATAATAGATGATACTTATTATGTTTAAAATAGCTGATATCAATATTTGATGTTAACTAGTTGGGAAGATACCTGACCCATTTATTTATAGGCCTCTACTTTTTCTGCTTTGTGACTAGTTTTTTATCCTTTGTCAGAAGTCTCAAATTAATACTCCTAGGTTGTCCCCTGGGCTAGGCATGTAGTAACTTTTTTTATTTACTAAAGGGTAACCTGAGGACTGGTATCTGACATAAACTGTCCAGCAATAGTTGTAACTTGTAATATACCCAAAGATTTTTTCTACTTAGATACTTAGTTCACATTTCAATTTATTATCAAATTTAACAAGCCACTTTTGTTTTTTTGTCTTGTATAGCATACCACTCTCCTTTTAGTTACCAGAATACTAATACTTTTTCCTTCTTTCTTCTGAAGTACAATACGTGAACAGTTGACAAATACTGAAGACATCCGTCGCCTAAGGAAAAAAGCCCCTTGCACTAGTCATGAGATTTTAATGATTCAAAGACAGTTTTTGGAAGATGAAATTTTCCATGAACCTATATTTACAGGTAAGTTATGCATTTTGGCTTTGTTTATGTTTTGTTATTGATTATTTGGAGCATTGGTTCAAACCTTTCTGTCCCCCTTTCTTGAATAATTTTAAATCCATTAAATTACAAGATTATGCTCATGGTTAATATTCTCATGTTATTTATTACATTTGCTTCACACAAAATCCTTCAAAACAGAAAACAAGTTAAATAATATTTTTGTTACTTCTAGTGAAAGCGTGTAAACTGAAAATGGTAACATTAATGAAGACAAAGCATGCAAACTGAAAATGATGACATTAAGGAAGACAAACACAATAGTACATTTTCTTTTTGCAATGCAGTTTTTTGTGGTACATTAATTTTGAAAAAAAAGAAAAAACTTGTATGATCATTCGTTTAATCCTCTGTTCTTGTCATGACAACATTTTCCTCAATTAGTGAGGCTTCTACTGTATTTTGTTTTATCTCTAAAATATTTTTTATAGAGCTGGCTATTAATTGAAAAACAACAATGATGATATTTGACTAGTTCAACCTTGATGTTATGGGCAGACTAAAGTGGTCTACTACACTTTTCTGCATCTATGGCGTAGTCATGTCTGTTCCTTTTCAGTTGCTGTCAATTGCTTTTCAAAAATTTTGAGAGCATTTGGCCATCGTTATTCTGATTACTACCATTCTCATTTACTTAATTTTTCACATAGAGCCTCGTCATATTCTTATATGAAATTTCCATCTAACATTATCATGTCGATTTTCTTATATATTCCAGATTTGACTACTGATTTGACTATTCTGCGAAATGAGACAATTGATCTGACTGGAATCAAGGTTTGTGATTATGGTATCGAGTGTTCTTTGGTAGAAAAAACAAGTGATCAAGAGTCCTATTCTAGAACAAATACTGAAATTCATGGAGTGGAGGGGAACAATGAACCTATGGCAGTTCAACTCCAAGATGCAGAAGTCCAACCTCCTGAGCTACCTGCTCTGTCTGAGAGTCATCAGTCTGAGGTTAACTTGGGATCGCATGATATTGATGCTCAAGGGCACACAACTTATGAACCTGTGACAGTCCAACCCCAAGAAGATGCAGAAGTGCACCCTACTGAAATTCCTGCTTTGTCTGAGAGTCATCAGTCTGAGGTTAACATGGTATCTCATGATATTGATGCCCCTGGGCACACAAATATTGTTTCTAGTGTTGAGGAGCTTGGCAATTCTCAAAATGTTGAAATAAACCATGTTGGAGGAAATTTTGCAGTTTCTGAAGCAGAGAATTGCTCTGTTGGCCTTGAGCATGAATCTTCATCCTTAACTGAAGTCTTTGAAAATGATTTTACCACATCACTGACTCTGGTGGATAAAACTAATGATCTCGTTGGTTCTATCCATCCAAATATATTGAGCACCCCAAATGCTGAGAATTTGAATACAATCCCTATTCTAGACAAAGAGTTTGTGGAGGATCAGGGCGATAGAAAGGGAGTAGGTGCTATTGAGCATAGCATGGAAACTAGAACAGAAGTTCACACAGATGGTTTTGAAGCCAATGATTTATATGCATCCTTGGCTACTGGTTCTAAAGAAACTGTTGAATTTACTGATATTCAGGCTTCTTTTAACGGTGATATGCCATCAGAGGAAAATAGAAACAGCATGCTAGGGAAGTTAAATGAGGATCCAATTGTTGCTTCTGCCATGGAGTGTGATGACAAGGGTGCTAGGTCTGACTGCATATCTATAGAAAATGCTAACGTAGATTGTTTACAATCTGAAGCACTTGGTTTAGATGAAAAAGATGGTTCTTTGAAAGATGAAGAAATAGTCTATCAGGAAGCTGGACTACAAAGTACAATGTACCCTGAAATTAGGAGTCCTTATGTAGATCAAAATGACGTAAGTTCTCCAGTTGCCTTAATTTAGCCTTTTTCCCTATATTTTATTTGTTGGATTTGTCACTTATTCTTCTACTGGACTCATTTAATGTAGTTGATATACCTGACAAAAGCATTGTTTGATAACATTGAGCTATGTGACTGAAGTTTATTATTGGCAAAAATCTATTTTTATATCAAGATTTTATTTTTCTTAATGAAATGGTAATTCTGGACATAGTTTGGATTTTAAGCAAGAATGGAAATTGAGTTTTAGAAGTAGTGTTCTGCATATGTTTTACACTTTCTAGGTTCTCACAACAGTTAAATCTAATTTGCTAGGACTGTCTATTGTGATTTCAATCATTTTCTATCTAGCCACTCTTTTGTTGCTTTGTATCATGACATTTTTTAGTGCTAATTCTTGAAGCAGTTTGTGCTTATCCTGCCATACTTTAGTGTTGTTTCCTGAAGCAGATCATGTTCAACATATACTGCAGTGTAACAAACAGTATATTATTGAAGTATTTTTTTCTGCAAATTCTATTAGAAGCAGCGTGACTGTTTTTCATTAAATTTCTATATAAATTATTACTCAAGCTCAACATTTGTAGTGAAAATTAAACATTACAATTTTTACAACAAAAGTAGTCAGTAGATGAAACAGCCCTAAAATTTAAAATTGGTACAAAAGAGAAATGGTGTAACCCTAAGTTCACACCAGAAAAATAGAGTAGTCATAGCCTGTAGCTTTTAACATTGCAACAATTCTACTCACCACTTATATTATTATGATATAGTGAGCCCTTCCCAACCTGATAGGTACTCCACCCAAACAGCAAGTGTCCCTAACTTCTTCTGGCACTTTGCTGCTCCTCTTTGGCATCGCCTTAAACTGCACCTTGGATGAGACGTTGGAATGAGTAATTCTTCTAATGTCATTATTATTGGTTGATAGATTTAGGTCTTTTCCTAGCTTGTACATGTTTTCTTTCTTCTGAAGTGATCTAAATATCTGAGTCGATATGGTTTGTGGCATTGATGTGATTGTGCTGTAAGTATTTTGAAATTTTATTTTGAAGCAAAATGTTATGTGCTGTATATGTGGTATTTCTTTGCTATTTTTATTCGTGCCTAATTAAGTCCTATGGCTACATGGTGCAGGAACATGAATTAATTCCTAATGACACAGGTTTGCTTCTAAATGCTCTTTGCTGTTCATTTTATGAAATACTAGCCTGTATGGTTTTCTGGTTTAATAAATTACATGCTGGAATACTAGCTTAGATTAGTTAACATATGCAGCACATGATAGGATATTATTCAATTAGCTGTGTAGCAAAGCCTTTATGGTTCCTGCACTTCATGCACCTGATAGTATGATGGTTTGTGTTTAAACAATTTTTTTTTTATAATTGTATGGTAGCAGTGCCATAATCCTGGCGCTATTTTCTTCCAAGCTTAAAAACTATGGTATGGGATCAGTGCCAATCTAACTCTGTTTGGTATTTTTTCTGTTTTCAGCCTTCCTGTCTTTCTTCATAATTCTTACTCTTCTACTTACTGCCTTTTCTGCTGTTAGATTGGCAATTTAATTCTGCCATTCAAATCAGGTGTTAATCTGTAATGTGCTGAAATTTCATGTCCATAAGCATCTTGAGACTGAACTCTGGTAATAGGAAGATAAATATCTATAAGCAATTAACCTCTAGAGCATTACCACAACTAGAAGGCTGTCCATTTCGTTTTCCTTGAATTGTAGAAAAGTTGAATTTATAGTTGGAAGGGAGTGTACTTCGTCCAGTTGCCTGTCAAATAATCTTCTGCCATGTGCCATCTTACTAATTAGTTGGTATTAGTCACCACTCAATCATCCAATGCATCACCCAGGGTCAATCACTCTTCATTGTATTCCTCGACAATTCCTTCATGTCTCTCCTTTTCTTCAAAGTTATTTTGTGTAGCTTATTATTAGTGTACACTGGTTCCGCCCTTTTTAATTAGTTCAGAATGTGCAAACAAGTATTAAATGTGTGACAAATATGGGAAATAGTTGGTGAAGTAGGTAATTGAGCTTTTAATACTGCAATTTTTATATGTTTCTTTGATCTGTACTAATTCTTTACCTGTGTATACTCTCAGGGTTTTTGAATGTTGGGGATGATGAGATAATTGATGATGATGATGATGATTTTCAACCATGTGCTGAAGGAACTCACCTTGAAAATAGCGGATGGTCTTCCAGGACTAGGTTTGTTTGTATAATAAAACTTTAGTAACATCCCTTTGTCTGCATATAAAGTAACTGCATTTCTTTTTTCCTCGCTGTTGTGATGCTAATCATTATATGTATATATGTGAAACTCAGACTTAAAATTGTATATTTTGTCATGCGTATGGTGGTGATCATGAGTTTCCTCTTGCACCTAGTCCGTGGAAATACAAATAGTTCCATTTCATTTAAAATCCCCCCAGCCATTGCCTTAGATGCGATGGATTCCCTAGAAGATATGTACAAATCACTTCATCTATAATTTTAAAGATGTCTTTTTCACTCGGGCCCAGAAATTGTGGTTGTGTGCAGATGATTCAGGCTTAAGTCATCTTGGCAAAATAACAATTAACAAACATCCGAAATGTATTTTATCTGGATCTGGATTATTTAGGATCGTATAACTAAATTTTCTGTGAATTCATTTGATTTGGCAAGATTTTAATGCACTGATTCCCAGTTTCATGCATTTTATATTTCAACAGCTAACTAATGCATTTATCCACAGGGCTGTTGCCAAGTATCTGCAGGCTGTGTTTGATAAGGAAGATCTACATGGAAGGAAGGAGCTGCATCTTGACAATCTATTAGTTGGTAAAACAAAGAAGGAAGCATCGCGGATGTTTTTCGAAACTCTGGTATGGTTGAGAATTATTTTAATTTACACTAACAATATATATTGCCTAATGATCTTATCGTATTAATTTAACATCTTCACATTTATGATTATGGTAATTGAAATATCTTATTAGAGAACAGAAGGAAATTATTAACAATGACCTAAGGACATGTTATTAGATATCTTTTAATATTTAAAAGTACCCAAAACTGAAAGTGGGAAAAGTGAATGAAAGAGAAAACTAAATAATGCAAAAGATTAAACCGATCTCTCTGCAAGTTGGAGCCAAATACCCTTGAAATAAGTGTGAGCTGAACACCAGAGGGGCTGAGAACAGTGTTTAAATGTTGTCACCAAAGATGTTTTATTTATTTAGTTTTAGTGCCAGTTCCTGAATATTTTACTTCGGAGATCATTTTTATTTTTTGCTCTCACTTTGGAAGTGTTTCTTAATATGCTTGTTTGAACTCTTCAAATACTTGTAAACTTTTGCGTTGGTTCACATTCAATTTTAACCGTGATTGTAGGTTCTTAAGACAAGGGATTATGTCCATGTAGAGCAGCCAAAACCCTTTGCAAATGTTAGCATAAAACCTCGAATGAAGCTTATGAAATCAGATTTCTGAAACCTTATGTAGGAGTGGCAGATATAGTTGTAAAGATCCATTCAGTGGTAGTTTGGCTGGAATATGCAGCGTTGGGATAATATTTTCTACATTTCTCTCCAATTCTAGCTATGGTTTTTCGTTCATAATTTTTTGGAGATAGTATCTGGCTGTTCAGTTTTAGTTCTTCAACGGCTGGGGGATTGAAGTGGCACTTGTATCACCCTTTTGATTATTCCGGGTCTTAATGTATATATTTCTGTAAAATGTCACAATTTGTAATTTACAGATGCTAATTTGTATGTCGTTTAAACTCATCCCTCCAAGAATGATATCCTGCTTTCTATAGGCATCTGATTTATGTGATAGAAAGCACCTTGTAATTTAGCTGTCGCTGGACAAGGTACCTCATTTCTGTACTTTTATTTGTATAGTATCTAACTGTATTTAATATTTATCCTTTTAAGTTTTTGTAGTTTTCAGTACATAGTTCATTCGCTTTATGTTTTAGTTGTAGTGCCTGAAAATACTTTTATTTATTTGGTTAGTTTTGATGCGTAAAAATATTATGCCTTTTTGTTTCAATCTTTTTTTTTTTTTTTTTTTTTTTTTTTTAATTAGGACTAAATAAAGTTATAATATTTGGGAGTTGGTAACTTGTTTGAATTATTTGTAGACATTTCCCTGTGCAGGAAGAGGAAGATCGGCTATACTGTTTGGTAATTTGTAGACATTAAAATTAGCATGTCCCTTAATGATTTTCGTAATGTATCGGCTATATTTTTTGTTGCCAAAAGTTAAAATCCAGATAAAAATATATACCTTAATTTCTCTTCCGGGAAAATTATATTTTGAATGAATAATTCTGAAAATGTTATAGAGCTAATTACCTTTCCCTGAATAAACTACATTGCTTCTGTCAAAAAACATTTTTTTTGTTGTAAATAGTTTATCATAAATCCAATTTTCACAGGAGTCCCTTTGACTTGTATTGGTTTCAATTTATTTACCTATTCCTTCGCTCATAATAAGTAATTAATTTCTTCTGTCTCGTAATAATATAAAAAATTTCTTCTATGTAATTTTAATTATTTTTGTTTCATTTACATATATAAAAGTATTTTTATAATTTTGTTTGATTCAGTGGAGTTGGGAATGAAGCAGTAGTTTGACATCTTTGAAAATTTTGGATCTGAGCAAAATAAATATCTTGTGATTAAAATAAATGAATAAATTATACAGTTTGAAATGTATTAGGTAATTCTTATTACGATTTTATTTTTCAAAATGTGTCTGAAATATTTAATCCAAAAACTTTATTAATACATTTCTAAAATATATTCTGAAGAATTTTCAAAAGTTATTCATCGTTCCATTACAATGGAACGTGCAAAAAGGAATTCTATAAATGTATAAAACAATCGTTGAACTCTTATTATAAAGTAAAAAGAAAAAATAACTATAAAAAATTGGAATATGCCATTTTGTAGAGACAAATAAGTCCTGTCTAAAAGATCCCTGTTGTTGAATTGCTTTAAAATGTTACGTCCATTTTATTTTTCAAAATCAAATGTGAGAAGAGAAGAAATGTTGATCCCACGATATTTGTTAAGGGTAACAAATATTATAACAAAATTAAGTTTCTTATAAATATAATAATTTATTAAGTCTACGTAATTTTTTTTGTTCATATATTATTTTATATTTCCCACGAATACACCAAATTTAGTTTTATATTTATATAAAATAGAACGATTTGTTTTATATATATTTAACTTTTGTATCATCACTTATTTAGTTCTGATGTGTATTAGAGACTAAAATATAAAACAATTATATCAAAAGAAATCTCAAGACTAAAGGATTAATCCTTCAAATTCATTTAAGAATTTAACCTTTTTTTCAATGAATATTTTTTCATACTTACATATTTGAAATTGAATTTTCGATTACATGCATAAGGAAAATATTATATATTAATCACATCATATGTTGGTATAAAACATTTAAAGAAAAGCTGCTAATCCAAAATAAAGACAAGAAACTTTGACACAAAACCAAACGTTACATTGGATAAACTTGGGCAAGCCGAAAGACAAAAAGTGAAAGAACAAATTGGGTTGGAAAAATTAACGTTAACATCACAGCTGGCTGGGTCCACTTTCCTCAACGGTCACATTCCACCGACCCAAACAAATGACCAAAAAAAAAAAAATGACCGTTATGACTAGGAACCCAGAACACTATAATAGCAAGCACCACTCTCACTCTACCCATCATCACAAACCCAAAACACAATCACAACCAGCACAGTTTCAGTTCCCTATTCCAAAGTTTCAATCTTCACTCAAAACGCAAATGGGTCTCTCCACAATGAACTCTTCCTCCATCACTCCACGCCACTACAACACCCACAAGGTGTTCCTTTTCTGCAACTACATTCTCTTGGGTGCAGCCTCCAGCTGCATCTTCCTCACCCTCTCTCTGCGCCTCATTCCCTCTCTCTGTGGCTTCTTCTTCATCCTTCTTCAGGTCTTCACAATCGCGGGTGCCATCTCGGGTTGTGCTGCTGTGGGTGCCAATAGTTGGTACTCTGCACACATGGTGGCCACTGTGTTAACGGCAATTTTTCAGGGTTCAGTTTCGGTGTTGGTGTTTACAAGAACTGGGGACTTTTTGGGGCAGTTGAAGTCGTATGTAAGGGAGGAGGATGGTGCTGTGATTCTGAAGTTGGCTGGTGGACTCACCATCTTGATCTTTTGCTTGGAGTGGGTGGTGCTGACTCTTGCCTTTTTCTTGAAGTATTATGCATGTGTTGAGGGGGGTAATGGTGGGGCTATTGTGGCAATGAAGAGTGGGAAGGTGCAGCAGGATGAGGACTTGAAGGATTGGCCTTGGCCTTTCCAAGTTTGATTCTTCTTTGTGACAAGAACGATCAAGAACAAGATGCTTCTCTGCTGATATATGATCATCAAATTCGTTGATTTGTTGGAGAATTGGATGCTTATTTCTCCTAGTAGTTATATGTTTGTTTGTTTGCTGGTGATATAAGTAGGTGTGTGGTTATTTTTTCCATTCATCTTTTCTGATGTTGTTACCTATATTTCCTTGTTAATCAGAAGTTAAGTTACTGTAATATCAGTTTTGCCCATTATATTTTGAATTCTGTTGTTGGATGTCAAATTTTGATTAACCTAATTAATTTTGAAGAATTTGTCTCTTTTTATTTAATAATTGGTCGCAAAAAACAGTGAGATTATTTTTGAAGCAGCAGTAGAGTTGATGTGTCGAAGCGAAAATTTGAAATTGATTCCCCCTTTCACTTTCTCATTCAAAATTGGATATTTTTTGTACACATTTCCTGCTTCGTTCCATGTAGTGTACTAATGAACACGTTCATTCAGGACTACATATTTTTGTATCAAAATTGTTTAAAAAATTGCCCTTTAGTTGAATTTCCCATTTTTCTTGAGGCTTTTCAAGAGTTTACATGGTGTTGTAAAAATTTTCAAATGAAAGGTCATAACTACTCATGTTGTTACGACAAATGCAAATATTTATTTTCATCTTTGCATTACTCATCTTGGGACTCCTTTCCAGATGATCAAAACATCATGAGATAGTTTGCATAATTTAACAATTTTATTTTGACAGATAAAGAAACTTTTTCTATTTCCAATTAACTTCAATAAAATACATGACTTTCCTTCCCCACCTTCATCTGGGGATAGTTAAAAATTTTATAAATATAAACTGCATGGTCATACAGCTGCAGCGTTCAGGGAAAGAAAATCTGAAATTTTGTTGGTGTAGAAGTCTGGTTGTATGGCGTTGTTAGAACTCTGGAGCATGGCCAGTGTGGTGACTCCTGAGAGCACAAGAAGAGTTTTGCAACCACCATTTTGCCCAAATAAGATATCAGTGTCTAATCTGTCCCCAACCATGCATATCTGTGACTTCGAAATGCCAAATCTGTTACACGAAATTACTAAAATTCAGGGAAATTTTAGATAAAAAATTTATTTACAGTTTACTAGCTATAGCACTAAATAGAAACTGGTTTACTAAAAGTAGTGATGAAGATTCTCTAAACTTTCTCATCCCTATTTCCCCAGCTCCCACGGGTCGTCAGTGGACTTCTTCCAGTGAAGTGTCCTTTCTGATCCCCCATTTCCCATTGAAAAATATAACATAAACACATCTACGGTTAAAATCTGTGATGAATAAACAGTTTAATAGAAGAAGAAATGATCATATTATAATCTGTGATCCCAATAGAAATCTCCACCCAACTCCACTCATGAACATTATTATTATTATTATTACTATTACATAAAAGGTAACGGAAAATGATCTATTACATCAACAAGCAACAAAGATGATGAGTTACGGATAGAAAATGAAGAAGTGGAGAAGAAATAATGATTTGGTGCAATGATTTGTGAGTTGGGTCAAGATTTAACATGTTTTGTCATAGGAAGACCATGCATTAACATTAAGCAGATTATTTATGCCCCAGATAATTAATCTAGCATGCACTAAGAATAAAGAATAAGGTAATAGAAAGCTTTTTACTTGTTTGCTAGGTAATCCATCATAAACGTTGAGGGTTTTCCAACAACTAGTGGCTCACGTTGAGTAGATCCACTGATAGCGCCAACCATAGAGCCTCCACCTGAAATGCAAGTATAAATTATTTTCATACCCTTTTAAGAATGATTAATTAACAATAATGATAATAACAAGTAATTGCATAATCATTTTCTAAGTTGATGTTTTGAACTATTTTATAGTTTGTGAGTCTGCTTTGAACCACTTATTTTGCTGTTTTTCTAATGTAATTTGCTCTAATTCTTTTAAGAGAAAAAGATAAGGATATATTATATTATTATTTTAGACAATTACGATAGAGATATTGTTAATATTTAATATTTTGTTATATGTTTACTCTGTATATAGATAGAATATAAGAATAAAATATATATCCATATGAAATATATTTTATATATCGAAATACACATATATAAAATTTTAAAAATTCTCATTAGTGGTGTCTGAACTTTGATTCTTATGAGAAGGATGGAAGGAGAACAAAGTTTCTCATAAGTCGTTATTCCAATTTTCAATGATAAAAGTTATGACTTATGAGATGTGAGAATGTAATCTTATCTTGAAGGATTGGATTTACGAGAAGGTGTAGAAGAGGATTACATCATTGATCCGCTGCCTAAAATTCCCACCATAGCTCAAATCAAATTTCAGAAAGAAAAAAAAAATAAGGAAAACAAATGCTAAATGATCCTCACCAAAATCATAATGCTAAATGTTGGATATTTCATCAGGGAGAAACAACACCAATGAGACATGAGTTCAACCTACATAAGGTATTGATACCACTCTCAACCCAAAACCTTAAGGTATTGGGTTATGAGTCTTTCTTCCTTATATATTGCTTAACTTTCTCATTTTTATATAATGTGAGACTTAAGATCACACTTGGATTACCCAACAATCTCCCTCTCAAGTGTGAGTTCTTCTAAATTGGTTCATTCCCCTCGAGCACATAAGTAATTCTTTCATGTACCGTCGTTCATCATCACGGGACATGCTTACCTGACCCACTGTCAAGAAGAACTTTTGATACAAAGACCACTAGTAAACTTCTGATCAACCTTCAGGTCTGTAACTAGTTGTTGGATCTTTTAAGGGGGATTCATACGGGAGAAACACACCAATGAGACATGAAGCCTTTTTTTTTTTAAATCAAAATTTTCAATAAAAATAAGATTATCATTTGTTTGTTAAAAATTTAACATATATATTTCAAGTTAATAATATAAATCAACATATTGTTTTAGAAAATAATAATTTAGAACAATAATAAAATTTATATAATAATAAATAATAACAAATATATAAATAATGTCAAAACTTGTAAAATTTATATTTTTTATATTGAAAAATTCAAATACATATATCTTTTTTATTTGATAAAACTTCCCATTGTTTTCCCCTTGAGTAATCCTTACACCTTTAATTCAAGTCATAAAGATAAAACAATCGGTGCTTAGGACGAACAAGAATGGGATGATGGCACCAAGGAGAAGAGAGGATCATCTTGTGTTTGAATGAGAAAAATATTTCCTATAATGAGTAAGAGTAAAACTTTTTTAATTCTCTTTTACAATTTTTAACTTTATATATTTTGTCTTTATGATTAACTATAAAAAAATATTTTTTATTAATTAGGTGGGTTGCGGATTGGCCCAATGGGTTGACGGGCTAAAAACACTAGTTCATCTTGTTATATTATAGTGGGTGTTATGATTAACTATATTATAATAACAAAATTATTTTTTTATTAATTAAGCGGGCTACAGACTGACCCTTCCCGTCCCGCGGGTTGGCTTGGGGCGAGCCAGCCCTGTGGGTTGACGGGCTGAAAACACCAGTCCACCGTGCTATATTACAACGGGTTGGTGGGCTGGTAGGCTGACTCATTGGGCCTGACTTGTTTAACCATCCCTAACCTTAAAGCATTGAATTATGGGTCTTTCCTCCTTATATGTTGTTCAACTTTCTCATTCTTACTCAATATGAGATTTAAAATCATACTTGGATTACCCAACAATCTCCTATTCAAGTGTGAATTTCTCCACATTGATACATCCCCTCGAGCACACTAGTAACTCTTCCATGTACCGTCGTTCATCTTAACGAGACACGCTTACCTTAGCGCGAGCACACTAATAACCTTATCGATCAACCTTCGGCTCCGATACCACTTGTTGGGTCTTTCAAAGGGTGATTTACAAGGGAGAAACACACCAATGAAATAGGAGTCCAACTCACGTAAGGATTGACACCACTCTCAATAAAAAATCTTAAGGCATTGGGTTATGGGTCTTTCCTCCTTATATGTTGTTCAACTTTCTCATTATTATTCAATATGTGACTTAGAATCACACTTGGATTACCCAACACTAAAGTCACCCAAATAAATTTAGGATTATTTGAAAGATTAATATGAAGAGGAAGAGAAAATTTGAGGTATGAAAGTTGTAAACTAGATAAGGGAATTTAAGATACAAAGAATGCAAGATTTTGAGAAAATTAATGAATACTCAAGTAAATTGTTGAATATTACTAACAAGATGATAAAATTGTTAGGTAAGAAATTTTCTGATTCAAGAATAGTTGAAAAAATTCTGGTAATTGTACCAGAGAGATATGAAACATCTATTGTTTCATTGAAATATACAAAGAATTTGTCTAATATTTCTTTGGCATAAGTATTGTATGTTTTACAAGTACAAGAGCAACAAAGATTGATGAGAGGAGATCATGCTACTGTTGAAAGTCTTTACAAGTCAAGAACAACAAATGTACAATCACATGTCTTCTTTGTCTGTCCTTATTGAAAAAAAAATCACTCACACAACAAGTGTTTGTGCAAACCGGATGTGAAATGTTGCATGTGTAGTCAATTTGGACATATAGAAAAGATATGCAAATCACAAATAAAAAAAGTCATCAAGGGTATAGAGGATGAAGTAGAAAGAGAACTTTTCCTTACATCAATATGCTCTACAATCAACAAATCCACAAGTTGACTTATAAATAGTGGTTGTACAAAATACATTACTAATGATAGAAAACTTTTTAAAGAGCTTAACGAATCTATTATTTCTAAAGTGAGAATTAATAATAGAGAACAAATGGATGTGAAACGTATGTGAATAATTGTAGTGAAAAGTTATTAGGGTATCAAATTAATTTTTTACTTATTTATATTTTTTTTTATGTTAACCAAAATTTGTTAAGTGTTGCCTACTTATTCGAGAAAAGTTATAAGGTGTCTTTTGAATACAAACTTTGTGTGATTAAAGATGCAAATAATTTAAAAATATTCAAAGTTCATATGAAAGAAAAAAGTTTTATTTTAGATTTAATGAAAGAGGAGTTGACAACAAATGAAGATATAAAAGAGAAGTTAAAAGAAAAATATGATGAATATTTCTTGAAGAAATATGATGTTAAAGAAGAAAATAAAGATGTAGATGAAGAAACTGTTTTCAACGTATATCAAATGTCAACGGTTTACCATAAAGTTTGAAAGAAACAAATGAGATGAAGTTGACAAAGGAAGAAATATATTGATGAAGAAAGTTAAATTGAATGAAAATGTAATTTTATACAAGAAGAGGAGGATGATAAGAAGTACAAACAAAAATGAGAAAAAATTTCAAGTAAAATAAAAGAAAGAATATCAAATTCAAACAAACACACGTTAAAACAAGGAGTAATGTTGGGAATAAAATGTTTATTATCTTTTATTAAAATATTAAAAGATTTTATTATTTTTAAGAGAAGAAGATAAGAAGATATTATTATGCACAAATTAGTAAATAAAGTCATTACGAAGAGAGGAAAGAAGAACGAACCTGCCCATTCCTGAGCATCTGTTAAATGAGTAACAGCATCTCGATTTGTAGCAATGAAAAGGCATCCAGGGTTTTCACGTATGCAGAGTGTTCCATACCTTTCATCACGAAGAAAAAAGTAACATTTAATAACATAAGAAGTTTCTATCTACCTCAGCATGACTTCTGAAATAGAATTGCCATCTTTATCATGCTCATGCTAAAGGATATTGATTTCTCACGCCGCTTTCTCTTATATTAACTCATTTCTACTTCTCATCTCTTTTTCCATCTCATAATCTATCACGTTTTTTACATTTCTTTTTCTTCCTTCTTCCTTTTTCCTTTCCATTCTTTCTCTTTTTTTCCTTCCACCTATCTCACAACCCCATAAAATATTGCAAGTCAAACATTATTGTAAATGAAAATACTTGTAATATTAGGTGATTTAAGTAAAATATTTCAGGCTCTTAAATCCCAGATTTTGCTGACCAAAGAAAAAAGAAATCATCTTCTGCATGTACAAGAACAGATTTGAGAAAAAATAAATAAAAAATAAAAGGTCTTTTTTTGTTTGGAATCTGAATCACAGCAACATTTTATAAAGAAAACAGGAAAATAAAAATAGAAACATTGCATGCTATCTCTCTAACTCGAGTACATACACATGCCCGTAATGTTTCCGTGACAGTGTTTGAAATCTTACTGGATTTTGTAGTAGTTGAAGTAACGATCAAAGCCAACAACAACTGCTCCAACCTAATAAATATACACTTTTTTTTACAATAGCGAAAAATAATATCAAATAAAAATCTGACAATTATCAACAAAGGCAGGCAGCACATACATCTTCATCGTGCTCCATCAAAAACCCTGGCTTCAGTTCTATCTTTTTCCCGCCATCTTCCTAAAGGAAGAACATGCATATAAAAGAGGATAGAGAATCAGACATAAGGACAATTGCATACTAGTAGAGAAGATTTATACATTACATATGCCTAACTATTATCTACACTTCTTATTAGCTTCTCCTTTTCCTTTGGAAACACATAAAAGTACTAGTTTTGTTTGACCTTAAGTGCCCTGATTCTGCATCAGACAGTGAGATTATTATATGCCATGCATTATCACTCAAATCTAAATGTATATGTGTTATCTATCAAACTGATTTAAAAAGAAAAAACGAAAGAAAAAATCAAATGATATTACACTGTGACCAAGTGATCAGATTTATAAGTATAAAAAAGACAGACGATAATATTTTGCATATGGAACTCAATAATACATACCGGCCCACCAAGGTACTGATATCCAGCAAGCTCAAGCTCTTTCAAGATGCCGTCTTCTCCAATGACATAAACCTAAATCATGTTCATCTATCAGTCCTTTACTTTCAGCTTTATGCACTGTCTGAGAAATGGTTAATACAACCAGAAAATCATTTGTTACACCTATGTTCATTCTCCCACCTTACAACTAACCCAACAAAAATGCAGGTGCTGCTTATGGGTAGAGATTTATAAAAGGATTTATAAAAGGCATGAGGGTAAAGGACACACTTTGCATTTCAGGAATTAAGTGATTTCAAGTAATATGTACTTTGGCTTTCTACCAATAGAAGTAACAGAGGAAATATAAGCCAGCAGAAAATACCTCAGATAAAACGAAACATTTTAAGAGTACAGCATAAAAAAATGTGGTATAATTCTAAAAGGTAGAGAGTATATTTCAACAAATGTTGAGATAAAATGCCAAACAAAATTTACGGGGAAAATTTTTAAGGGAAGAAAGGTTCATTACAGAAACAAAGAGCCCCTTTTCTAGTCAACTACATCAATGTAAACTAATTTTGTCTATCAATTTTTATATAAATATATATGACTATAAGGATCCCATGGCTAACCTGGATCAATTAGGACCAGAAGTATTAGACAAATCAAAACTTGAATGTAAGATCTGTGGACTTTTAAATTAAGTTGAATTATACTGACACTTGTCTTGTTTGGGAAAACTAATCTAGTATCCCTTGTTTTATGGAATGCTCTTATTCCTGGATAACCATTTCTGTTAAGGGAAGTAATGAATCACACATATCTCCTCCTTTATAAAAGGACCCTAGACAACCTTCTTTTGAAAATAACAAAGCAGGGGGGATAAGTGTAATCTAATCTGCCAAACAAAAGGTATGTCAGTATAGTAAGTGTTAACCTGGAGGGCAATGTTACTCCTAATTAAAACTAGGGTGCCACTTCAGGTTAAAACAGCTCCTAGTTTAAACACCCAATATTAGTTTGGATCATACAGGAAAGCAAAAGATGATATATTACCTTCTTATCTTTTGGGAAATCAATGGACTTCAAATACGCAGCAGCTGCAAAGGATGAGGCAAAAATCTCCTCCTGAAATAAGACAGTAGTTAAAGACTACAAATTCATTATTGTTCACTAAACAATTTCAGGGCAAACAAACTGAGGAACAACAAATGTGAACTAACCTCGCTGACATTCAGGCCAAGGGTTTCAAACTTCTTTCCATACTGCTTCCTAGACTTTGTTGAGTTGTTGGTGACAAAAACTAATCTTTTGCCCTAAAGAAGTTTATCAAGAGACACAAACCTCAGACTTTTTGCTTAAAATGAACAGTAATAATTTGAAGGATAGTTCACATTGAAACTTGCAGGTAAAAAGCCTAGAGCCTACATTAGCACACAAACCTTTGACCGAAGCATGTCAAGTGTTTCAGGCACTCCTCCGATTAATTTGTCACCTTTCCATATAACTCCTGCAAATTAAGTTTTAATGTAAAAGGAAATTCGCATTATGTCAATATACTTTGAAAAATAACCCAAGGGAATAGTTAAAGCAAAACAGAACAAGAAGCAGGAGTCATATAGATATTGTAAATTTTCCCCTGAAGGACTTCAGAAAAATTCAATCATCAACTTTTGTGAGAGTTCTGTATACAAATATCATGTACGATATCTATTACCATGGCACAGACAATCTGGGATATTAAACTCATAACTTCAAAAACAACTTTCCTGACAATTCAACTAAAATGCACTGATAATAATTTGTTATTATAAAGTTTATTTCTGATTGATTGATAATGTAATAGAATTTTATCTAATAACCTACAAAAAATAAACAGAATAGAATTTTTTTTTTGGTTAAATTATTCGTTTAATCTCTAAGTCGTCTTCATTTCAAACTTTAGTCTAAGTTTTAATTTTACATATACATAAAAATAAATAAAAGAGTCAAATGAGTAGTTTAACCACTTTTTCTATAATAACTATATAATTTTACAATAGTTATATTTAGGTTGATCTCTGATTAATTAAACTAAAAATATAAAAAAAACATATAATTAGTTGAAGCGTTCTGTTTTAGTAACATACCGTCACAGTCGAAGATAAAAGTCTCGACAGAATCGATGAGTTCGTCGGCGTTCCTCAGTGGCTGCGCCGACGCGCGGGTAGTGAAGGTTCCCATTCCACAGCTGTTACGCTTACAATTCGCTTTTCTTTTCCACTTGAAGATTGCGGAGTTTGATGATAGAGAGTTACGAGCAGCGTCACATAATCTATAATTCGCGGGAATTGATTGGTGCCATTGTCTGTGACTGTGACGAACACAGGTGACGGTAACACTCTGTGTTAGAGTGCTGCTTCTGAGCATTTCCTTGCAAATTGCGAAGTATTTTTTTTTTTTTTTTTCGGGTTATTATTTGTGTGGTGTGTGCATGGGTGCAGCATGTGATACGAAAGGTGAATTGGTTAAGAGAAGGAACATGAGCCATAGGTTTGAGTGGACCAAATTGGTGCGCTTTTGGATCATAATCTCAAGCCCAACCTGAATTTTCTATGGATGCTATTCTCTTCTTGTTACAAACATTTTTACTTAACACATATTATGCATTTTACAACTTTCAATTTGAATTGCACATTTCTCTAGTTGTTTCAAAAACTATATTATTCCACATTAATTATATTTTGATAGTAATAGTTTTATCTATTTAGATATCAAGGCCTAGTAATATTGCAAATGGGTACGTGGAATGTGGATGGGCCTGGAGTGTGTTGGTGTGGGCATTAGGGGGAGTAGTAGGTGAGTTTGTTGGGCTGATTGGATGAAGTGAGATTGAGTATGTGAAACAGGGTAAGTAAATAGTTGTGGTGGGTGTGTTGGAGTCAATTTGAGAGGCTCATGGTGAATGAATGTTGGTAGTTGGGTGGAGTAGTGTGGGCGGTATGGTTAATGCAAGTGGATGGGTAGGTGGGTGGGTGTGGGCACATGTTGGGCTTTGGCTTCAAGTCTGAGGACGGTGGTGGGATATTTGTTGAAAGTGAGTGAGAAGTGTTTAAGTGGGCAAAATGGTGTTGAAGTGAGCAAAAGCATCAAAATCGCTATTTTTTTAAAAAAAATGTATCTATTTGGGTAAATGTTTAAAAAATTATCTAAATAAGTAAATCATGTTTAAGCACAACTTAAAAAATATATACTTTTAAATGTGATTTTTTTAAAACCATAATAATGAAGTTGTGTTTTAAAGTATATTTTCAATTTTTTTTAAGCTTTTAATATGTTTATTCTTTTTTTTTTAATCAATTCATTTCATGCATGACTTCATTTTCTTTTAGTTTTTTTTATTTTTATATTATTGTTATTAAATTTATTCTTATCAATGTAAGATTGTGATATATATGAATAATTTGATACGTGGTGCAATAATGTTAAAGGTCTTTCATAATGGTAAGGATGGAAGATAAAATGGTTTAGAGGAACGAATTTGGAGATGATAGCCGAGAAAGAATATTTGTTGCTCATGAGATAAAAATATTTGATAGATTTGTATAACGAGTACAAAATATTGTATAATTAGAACTTCTTTTATTTAATCCTGATTTATTAGAGTAAAATACTATAAGATCATAGTATCTATGTACAAAAATAATATGAATAAAAATTATAGAATGAATTCTATGTTTTTTAATTTTGTACCAGAGCTTATAATTTTTTTCTTTTTCTTTCTAAATCCTTGGAGATCTTAAGCTGGAGAGATGACAGAAAAACTAATTCCAATGGTTGTTCAATATGAATTTGTCTTTAACGTAAGCATCATCCTAAATGAATCCAATTATGATGTATGGTCACAACTAATAGAGATGCACATTGCAGAGAGGAAAAAATTATCCTACATTTGTGGGAAGGTGAAGCCTCCAACAGAGAACGATGAAATATAAAAAAATTGTATGCTGAAAACCAAAAAGTGAAAAGATGACTATTGATGTCCATGAAGCCAGAAATCATGAAAATGTATTTTTGCTTACCCACTGCCCTCAATATTTGGAATGTTTTGTCAAAGACATTTTATAATGGAAGTGATGAGCTACAGGTGTTTGCTCTAAATCAAAGGACATTCACTGCAAAACAAAATAATAGAACCTTAACTGAATATTATGGGGAGTTGGTTGAGATTTTTAGGGAATTGGACCATCGTGACAAAGTAGTCATGAAGGACCCTAATGATGTAAAGTCATATCAGAAGTCCATTGAAAGATTAAGGGTGCATATATTCCTTGCTGGACTGGATGATGATTTTGAGCAAGTTCGTGGAGAAATCTTGCGCAAGGAAGTGACACCTGATTTAGAAGAATGCTATGCATTGATCCGAAGAGACAATTCGGCGAACAATGTTTAAAACAGAAGATATGATTTATGATTCCACAACTATGATGACAAAAAAACAGCCAACAAATCATCACAACAAATCGAAGCAATCAAAAGATTTCGAAAAAGGTAACTACAAGTGTACTCAGTGTAATAAGGATGGACACACCAAGGAACGATGTTATGAAATCATAGGATACCTCGAGTGGTAGGATTACAATCGAGCATCGAAGAAGATTTAAAAAAGAAATCCAACTGCTACTACTATAACTATAATTGACAAAGAGGATGACAAAGACATGAGTTTGCTACAATCACAGGTAGTGATGATTCCAATGGTAAGGCTTTAATAAGCACATCTACTGTTCTGAATAATGCATGGATAATTGACTCTGCATGTTCTAATCATGTGACTTTTGATGTTAGATAGATTAAAAATCTTAAACCTTCCTCACAAAAGTATTTCTATAGTCAATGATAGTAAATCCACTATTATTGGAGAATGAACTGTCTCTATTTCAAAAAATTTGAATCTTGATATTGTCCTTGTTATTCCTTCTCTCAAATATAACCTATTGTCAGTCTCACAAATAACCAAAGATCTTTTATGTGTTGTAATTTTTTGGCCTAACTCTTGTGTTTTTAAGGACATTCAAACGAGAAAGATGATTAGTTGTAGTATTAGGCGAGGAAGGTTGTATTACCTGGACCTGACAGAAAAAAAATTCAAAGAGACTTGGTCAAGTGCTAGCAACAAAAGGGTCTCAAGAAGTAAGAAAAGGCAAGGATATTTGGTTATGGCATAAGATTCTAGGACATGCATCTTTTGGTTACATAAAGAAATCATTTACAAATGTATTTGACCAAGTAGACACTTCAACTTTTTATTGTGATGTTTGTGAGCTTGCAAAGAGTCATAAAACATATTTTCTTTTAATTTCAAATAAAAGTTCTCTTCCTTTTATGATCATTCACTCTGATGTATGGGGTCCATCTAAGGTTATAATGTTGGGTGGCTCAACGGGGTTTGTAACATTTATTGATGATTGTACTCGAATGACTTGGTTATGTTTGATGAAGTCTAAAAGTGAAGTTAGAGGACTATTTCATAAATTCTGCAAAATGATTGAGACCCAGTACAAAACACAAGTTCAGGTACTACGCAGTGACAACGAAGGAGAATATATGCAATCAGAACTTCAACATTTTTTTAGTAGTCAAAGGAATTGTTCATCAGAGATCTTGTTCAAATACTCCACAACAGAATGGGGTGGCAGAACAAAAGAACCGTCATCTATGTGAGGTGGTCCGAGCTACACTGATTGGAGCTCACATGTCAACAATATATTGGGGAGAAACTCTCACATATGCATATACATTATCAACTGAACACTGTTCAGGTCTCTTGAGTATAAAACACCTATTCAATCACTTACAGATGCAGTAGTAAGTTCTAAAATTGTTGAACTAACACATAGAGTTTTTTGTTGTGTTGCTTATGTTCACTTACACAAGCATCAGAGAAGTAAGTTGTCTCCTAGAGCTGAAAGGTGTGTGTTCCTTGGCTATGCGGATCACCAGAAAGGATATCGGTGCTACAATCCATAAACCAAGCAAATGTTTACTACTATAGATGTAGTTTTTCATAAAACCTTGATAAATTTTTCCCCCAAGTCTGAAATTCAGGGGAAGAATTATGATGAAGTTCAGACTTTTGTTCCTCAAGAAATTGATATTGAGGTCAGATTGGAGAAAGAAAGTTACAAAGTTGTATCAGGAGATGATGAAAGTATGCAACAATGTTATGATCAACAACCACATAATGAGGAAGATTTTGAGCATGTCAAGATCAAAAATTTTCTTGTTGATACTAATGATATACCACACCAATCGTTCCTTCAAGAACCTAATACAAAAAAAATAATGATGCCAGATCGTGTCACTAGAGGTATCCCTAAGCCTACTTATAATCATGACCTCACCAGTAAGACAAGATACACTATGAGTAATTATATTTGTAACCAGAATTTTTCTAACTCATATATCGCATTTATAAGTCAATTATCTACTGTATCTATTCCTAACAGTGTGCAGGAAGCTTTAGCTGACTCCAGGTGGAAAGATGCTATGGATGAGGAGATGAGATCCTTGCAAAGAAATAAAACATGAGAATTAGTAGATTGTCCAGTTGGAAAGAAACCAGTAGGATGCCGATGGGTATATACTGTGAAATTTATTACATATGGCACAATTGAGAGATTCAAAGCTAGATTGGTGGCAAAGGGGTACACATAAGCATATGGAATAGATTACATTAAAACGTTTGCTCCCATAGCCAAAATTAGTACAGTTCGAGTATTGTTATCTCTAGTTGTAAACCTTGATGTCCTTACAACAATTTGACGTAAATGCCTTCTTACACGGGGAATTGTCTGAAGAAGTTTATATGGAGCTACCAGAAGGATGTGGGATCCCGAATACACATAGCAAGAAGGTATGCAAGTTGAAGAAGTCATTGTATGAACTAAAACAATCGCCACGAGCATGATTTGATAGATTCACTAAATCAATGTTTGCTTTTGGATATCAACAGAGCAACCAAGATCATACCTTGTTTCTAAAGAAAAAGGAAGGAAAGATTACAATTCGTATTGTCTATGTTGATGACATGATACTTACGGGAAACGATCTAGAGGAACACAAGATATTGAAAGAGTACTTGGCAAAGGAATTCGAGATGAAGGACCTTAGTCCTTTGAAATATTTTCTTGGAATTGAGGTCTCAAGATCAAAGTCAGGTATTTTTTTCTCACAACACAAGTATGCATTGGATTTATTGAAAGAAATTGGAATGACAGCATGCAAACCAACAAATTCTCCAATTGAAGAGGGATTGAAGTTGTGCATTGAAGAAGATCAAACTCCAACTAACAAGGGAAGATATTAGAGACTTGTAGGGAGATTGATGTATCTCTCACACACTAGCCAGATTTAGCTTATGCTCTTAA